ATGCCTGAATGCATGAATGCATGAATGCATGAATGCATGAATGCATGAATGCCTGAATGCCTGAATGCATGAATGCCTGAATGCCTGAATGCCTGAATGCCTGAATGCATGAATGCATGAATGCATGAATGCATGAATGCATGAATGCATGAATGCATGAATGCCTGAATGCATGAATGCCTGAATGCATGAATGCATGAATGCATGAATGCATGAATGCCTGAATGCATGAATGCCTGAATGCATGAATGCATGAATGCCTGAATGCATGAATGCATGAATGCATGAATGCATGAATGCATGAATGCATGAATGCATGAATGCCTGAATGCATGAATGCATGAATGCCTGAATGCATGAATGCCTGAATGCATGAATGCATGAATGCCTGAATGCCTGAATGCATGAATGCCTGAATGCATGAATGCATGAATGCCTGAATGCATGAATGCCTGAATGCATGAATGCATGAATGCATGAATGCATGAATGCATGAATGCATGAATGCATGAATGCCTGAATGCATGAATGCATGAATGCATGAATGCATGAATGCATGAATGCATGAATGCCTGAATGCATGAATGCATGAATGCCTGAATGCCTGAATGCATGAATGCCTGAATGCATGAATGCATGAATGCATGAATGCATGAATGCATGAATGCATGAATGCATGAATGCCTGAATGCATGAATGCCTGAATGCATGAATGCATGAATGCCTGAATGCATGAATGCCTGAATGCATGAATGCCTGAATGCATGAATGCATGAATGCCTGAATGCATGAATGCATGAATGCATGAATGCATGAATGCCTGAATGCATGAATGCATGAATGCCTGAATGCATGAATGCCTGAATGCATGAATGCATGAATGCCTGAATGCATGAATGCCTGAATGCATGAATGCATGAATGCCTGAATGCATGAATGCATGAATGCATGAATGCATGAATGCCTGAATGCATGAATGCCTGAATGCATGAATGCATGAATGCCTGAATGCATGAATGCCTGAATGCATGAATGCCTGAATGCATGAATGCATGAATGCCTGAATGCATGAATGCATGAATGCATGAATGCATGAATGCCTGAATGCATGAATGCATGAATGCATGAATGCATGAATGCATGAATGCATGAATGCATGAATGCATGAATGCATGAATGCCTGAATGCATGAATGCATGAATGCATGAATGCATGAATGCATGAATGCATGAATGCATGAATGCATGAATGCATGAATGCTGAATGCATGAATGCATGAATGCATGAATGCATGAATGCATGAATGCCTGAATGCATGAATGCATGAATGCATGAATGCATGAATGCATGAATGCCTGAATGCATGAATGCATGAATGCCTGAATGCATGAATGCCTGAATGCATGAATGCATGAATGCATGAATGCATGAATGCATGAATGCCTGAATGCATGAATGCCTGAATGCATGAATGCATGAATGCCTGAATGCATGAATGCCTGAATGCATGAATGCCTGAATGCATGAATGCATGAATGCATGAATGCATGAATGCCTGAATGCATGAATGCATGAATGCATGAATGCATGAATGCCTGAATGCATGAATGCATGAATGCCTGAATGCATGAATGCCTGAATGCATGAATGCATGAATGCCTGAATGCATGAATGCCTGAATGCATGAATGCATGAATGCATGAATGCATGAATGCATGAATGCATGAATGCATGAATGCATGAATGCATGAATGCCTGAATGCATGAATGCATGAATGCCTGAATGCATGAATGCATGAATGCATGAATGCATGAATGCATGAATGCATGAATGCCTGAATGCATGAATGCATGAATGCCTGAATGCCTGAATGCATGAATGCCTGAATGCATGAATGCATGAATGCATGAATGCATGAATGCATGAATGCATGAATGCATGAATGCCTGAATGCATGAATGCCTGAATGCATGAATGCATGAATGCCTGAATGCATGAATGCCTGAATGCATGAATGCCTGAATGCATGAATGCATGAATGCCTGAATGCATGAATGCATGAATGCATGAATGCATGAATGCATGAATGCCTGAATGCATGAATGCATGAATGCCTGAATGCATGAATGCCTGAATGCATGAATGCATGAATGCCTGAATGCATGAATGCCTGAATGCATGAATGCATGAATGCATGAATGCATGAATGCATGAATGCATGAATGCCTGAATGCATGAATGCCTGAATGCATGAATGCATGAATGCCTGAATGCATGAATGCCTGAATGCATGAATGCCTGAATGCATGAATGCATGAATGCCTGAATGCATGAATGCATGAATGCATGAATGCATGAATGCCTGAATGCATGAATGCATGAATGCATGAATGCATGAATGCATGAATGCATGAATGCATGAATGCATGAATGCATGAATGCCTGAATGCTATGCCTGAATGCATGAATGCATGAATGCATGAATGCCTGAATGCATGAATGCCTGAATGCATGAATGCATGAATGCCTGAATGCATGAATGCCTGAATGCATGAATGCCTGAATGCATGAATGCATGAATGCCTGAATGCATGAATGCATGAATGCATGAATGCATGAATGCATGAATGCCTGAATGCATGAATGCATGAATGCCTGAATGCATGAATGCCTGAATGCATGAATGCATGAATGCCTGAATGCATGAATGCCTGAATGCATGAATGCATGAATGCCTGAATGCATGAATGCATGAATGCCTGAATGCATGAATGCCTGAATGCATGAATGCATGAATGCCTGAATGCCTGAATGCATGAATGCATGAATGCATGAATGCATGAATGCATGAATGCATGAATGCATGAATGCCTGAATGCATGAATGCATGAATGCATGAATGCATGAATGCATGAATGCATGAATGCATGAATGCATGAATGCCTGAATGCATGAATGCATGAATGCCTGAATGCATGAATGCCTGAATGCATGAATGCATGAATGCATGAATGCATGAATGCATGAATGCCTGAATGCATGAATGCCTGAATGCATGAATGCATGAATGCCTGAATGCATGAATGCCTGAATGCATGAATGCCTGAATGCATGAATGCATGAATGCATGAATGCATGAATGCATGAATGCCTGAATGCATGAATGCATGAATGCCTGAATGCATGAATGCCTGAATGCATGAATGCATGAATGCCTGAATGCATGAATGCCTGAATGCATGAATGCATGAATGCATGAATGCATGAATGCATAAATGCATGAATGCATGAATGCCTGAATGCATGAATGCCTGAATGCATGAATGCATGAATGCCTGAATGCATGAATGCCTGAATGCATGAATGCATGAATGCCTGAATGCATGAATGCCTGAATGCATGAATGCATGAATGCCTGAATGCATGAATGCATGAATGCATGAATGCATGAATGCATGAATGCATGAATGCATGAATGCATGAATGCCTGAATGCATGAATGCCTGAATGCATGAATGCATGAATGCCTGAATGCATGAATGCCTGAATGCATGAATGCATGAATGCCTGAATGCATGAATGCCTGAATGCATGAATGCCTGAATGCATGAATGCATGAATGCCTGAATGCATGAATGCATGAATGCATGAACGCCTGAATGCATGAATGCCTGAATGCATGAATGCATGAATGCCTGAATGCATGAATGCCTGAATGCATGAATGCATGAATGCCTGAATGCATGAATGCCTGAATGCATGAATGCATGAATGCCTGAATGCATGAATGCATGAATGCATGAATGCATGAATGCATGAATGCATGAATGCATGAATGCATGAATGCATGAATGCCTGAATGCATGAATGCATGAATGCCTGAATGCATGAATGCATGAATGCATGAATGCCTGAATGCCTGAATGCCTGAATGCATGAATGCATGAATGCCTGAATGCATGAATGCATGAATGCATGAATGCTTGAATGCCTGAATGCCTGAATGCATGAATGCCTGAATGCCTGAATGCATGAATGCCTGAATGCCTGAATGCATGAATGCCTGAATGCATGAATGCATGAATGCCTGAATGCATGAATGCATGAATGCCTGAATGCATGAATGCCTGAATGCCTGAATGCATGAATGCATGAATGCCTGAATGCCTGAATGCATGAATGCCTGAAAGAATGAAAGCCTGAATGCCTGAGTGCCTGAATGCCTGAGTGCCTGAATGCCTGAAGAAACAATAAATTTTGCGAAATGAAACCACTGGCGAAACACAGAAATTGCCAAAAGGTAACCACTCTACTGATAAGCGTCGTCAGGCTGACAGCAGATGCCGAGCGCCGCCTACAGTATGCCGACTAACCCTAACGGATTCAGTCAACCGAACAAGTGCTACGGAAAGGAAATAACGCTCCGTTACGTTAGGATGGATGCTCGGCGCAACAACGAACCGCCATAGCCTAGTATTTTCAAGTCGCGTGGTGCTGAAGAGCAAACCCTAGTCACCTTAAGAAGCGTAATGTGTATGTCTTTAAGAAGCGGAGACGGCTCCGGGGTTAGCAGAGCCGTTTCGATGTCTTCGGCTGTAGCGTCGATGCTAAGTTGTAGCGGCTCCCGGAAAATCTGGAAGAAAATCGTAACGGATTTGAGCAGGATCGGAAAGACATGAAGCATATGAGGAGATTGCGAAGGAGGATTATGGGGTATACTCAGTGACGAAACGCGAGTGAGGCAGAGGCCATGGTTCGATGATCGCGGCGCGAGGAACGCGACGCGAGAGATCCCGAATCGCCATTTGAGCTCGTTTACCGCAGCAGGAATTGGAAACGGGAAGTTGATATAGCGCATAAAATACTTTCGATCTACCGTTACAAAAAGGAAAACTCTGCAACTTTTTCTCATGCTATCATACTAACGCGACCAAGTGCCGGTAACCGCGGAAAGTCCTGTTTCCAATCCAACCGTGAAATCAACGGCGACGCTTATGTCCTACGCTTGCGACGCATGAACGCGAATTATTACTCTGAAGAAATCAAGTATCGACGCAAACTCCCACATGCCGCGAATCTCGCTACGATCCCATCGGCGGTCCTTCGCCTCCTTAATCTCCGCCACACGCGGCGCGGCGTCCACCGCCAACGCGCCTACCTCCTTACCCTCTGCAACTCCAGCTTCCATAGCGCCGACTTAATTCGCATGTGCGAAAACAGAGACCAGAGTAGTCTAACTAATACCGCAAACGGCGCGAAAGATACGATTACGATCGTGCACTCTAGCAGTGTGTGAGCATCGAGGGAGGAACGACCAGAAAAAGACGGGGCGGGAGTGAGGGAGTTTTCTTTGTTACTGTATTCCCCACTCCCTCAATCGCGTACAACCACTCCGATGGTGATGGAATTATACATTTGCCTGGAATTTCTACAAAGTTGCCAATAAGTACAACAATTAGCAAAAAGATTAACAGAGAATAAGGAATGTATGGTAGAAGCAACAAGCTGGATTTATTAGTAAAACACCTGCTTTGATCCAATTGGCCCTATCAAGTTTGCACATTTAGAGTGCCAAGTTGCCAACTAGCAGTATTATCACTAATAGTAGCCCATCCAATTGATGGACACTAGCTAGCTCTTTTCCTCATCATAATAAAAATCCTCTGCAAAAACGTTTCTGGATTGACATTCCCCCCATTCATCCCTTTCTCACAGATCTCGCATCATCCGATCTGACATTCACCGACTCTCTCCACCTACCGGTACTAACAGTCCTCCTCACTCACTCACTCACTCACTCTCCTCCCTTCTCTTTCCTCCCTTCCCTCCACCCCCTTCCTTCGCCCCTCCCTTCCCCTTTTCCCCTTTCTTCACCTCCCTACCGTCCTTCTCCCCCATTCCTCCTGGTCTCACCTTATCCAAACCACCATCAGTGCCCGTACCACCAGCATCCACATTTGATTTTTTCTTTACCTCTGAAACCCCGTTTCCTTCCTCTTCCTTCCCATCCTTCTCATCCCCCTTCACTTCCCCTTCTTCTTTCCCATCCTTCTCCTTATCCCCCTTCCCCTCCCTTCCTGCTTCCCTCCTCTCCCTCTGCCCTTTCTCCCTTGCTACTGTTCCTTCACCTGCTGCCTCGACCCGTTTTCTCTCACTCAACCGCTCTGCACCACTCTCCTCTTCCACCTCTTCCACATCGCTGTCCGAAGGAGCACCTTCCTTCTCAGTAACACCTCCTTTCCCACCTGTACCATCCCCAGATGCCTTCTCTTCATCTGCCTTCTCTTCATCTGCCTTCTCTTTACCTGCCTTCTCTTTACCTGCCTTCTTTTCATCTGCCAGCCCGCGCACCTCAGTATCTGTCAGACCACCTTCTCGTCCCTTTTTCCCTGTTTGCTCCTCTCGTCCCTGTCCCCCCTTTTCCCCCTCCCGCCCCTCTTGCCCTTGTCGTTCCTTTTCCCCCTCTTGCCCCTGTCGCTCCTTTTCCCCCTCTTGCCCCTGTCGCTCCTTTTCCCCCTCTTGCCCCTGTCGCTCCTTTTCACCCTCTTGCCCCTGTCGCTCCTTTTCACCCTTTTGCCCCTGTCGCCCCTCTTGCGCAGCAGCAACAGCAGCCTTTTGACCTTCCTCATGACCTTTCATTCCATCCTTCTGCATATGCGTATCCGTCCGCTCATCCATATCCTTGACCTTTTCATTCTGCCTCTCATTATCCCTCTCAACCGCAACGAACCCATCTTTTAAAACACCCCTTTCACCACGCCTCCCCGGGGACACAGGCTCTGTTTCAACCTGACGTGAATCATGTTGCTTCGCAAGAGCTGGAATCACTCTGATTTCTTGGGAATTCCCTACTGAACGCTCCTTCTCCTGGGTCAACTTCAACTCATGCCCTCTCGGACCCCCCTCTCTCTGGATTTGGGTACTCTTCTCTCCCCCTCCAGGTCCCTTCTCATCCACCCGTCCCTTCCCCTCCCTGATGTCTCCATCTTCTTCAGCTTTGTCTCTGCTGCCTCCCTTATCCTTCTGCTTCCTCGCCTTGTATTCTTCTACTTCCATTCGATCATTCTCCTCCTCCTCGTCCTTCTCCTCGTCCTTCTCCTTCTCACTACCCCCTCTTTCTCTCCCCTCCAGCCTCTGATTCCTGGCCCCACCGTCTTCCACCTCCCTATAATCATTCTCCTTTTCCTTGTCCCTCTTTCTCTCCCTCTCACTCTCTCTCTCTCTCTCCCGCCCTCTCTCTCTCTCCCTCTCCTTCTTCCTCTCCTCCTCCCTCTCCCTCTCCTTATCCCTCTCCTTCTCCCTCTCCCTCTCCTTCTCCCTCTCCCTCTCCCTCTCCTTCTCCTTCTCCTTTTCCCTCTCCCTCTCCTTATCCCTCTCCTTCTCCCTCTCCCCCTCCTTCTCCCTCTCCTTCTCCTTCTCCCTCTCCCTCTCCCTCTCCCTCTCCCATTCCTTCTCTCTCTCCTTCTCCTTCTCCTCCCTATCCCTCTCCCTTTCCCTCTCCCTCTCCCTATCCCTCTCCCTTCCCCTCTCCCTCTCCCTCTCCCTATCCCTCTCCTTCTCCCTCTCCTCCATCTCCCTCTCCTTCTCCCTCTCCTCTTCCATTCCCTTCTCCTTCTCATTCCAAGCTGCCCCATTTGTTCCTGTGAGGAATCTCCCCTCCGAACCTTGTCTTTCGGCTGTTGTAACAGCATCGAACTGTGATTGCCTCCTGCTGCTTTCATAACTACTCGGATCCACGCCTTGCTCTTGCTGCTGCCTCTTTTCCTGCGCCTGCTGCCCCTGCTGTTCCCGCTGCTCCAGCCTCCACTGCTGCCCCTGCTGCTCCCTCTGCTCCCTCCTTCCCTGCTGCTCCCTCTGTCCCTCCTGCTCCCGCTGCTCCCTCCTCTCTCGTTGCTCCCGCTGCTCCTGTCTCCCCTGCTGTCCCTGCTGTCCCTGCTGTTCCTGCTGCTCCCTCTGTCCCTCCTGCTCCCGCTGCTCCCGCCTCCCCTGCTGCTCCCTCTGCTCCCACCTCTCCCGCTGATCCTGTCTTCCCTGCTGTTCCTGCTGCTCCCTCTGTCCCTCCTGCTCCCGCTGCCCCTGTTTCCCCTGCTGCTCCCACTGCTCCTGCCTCCCCTGCCGCTCCCACTGCGCCTGCTGTTCACGCTGCTCCCGTTGCCCCTCTCTCCCTTGCAGGCTCTGCTCATGTGGCTGTAGCAGCTGCTGCTTTGGACGGTGCTTTCCCGTTCCCCCTTCCTCCTCCTCTTCCATCTCCTCCTCCTGCTCTTCTACAGTATCAGCTTCTAAGTCCAAAACAAGCCGTTTCCGCTTCTTCTGCCCCTGCCCCTGCCGCTGCCCCTGCTGCTGCAACTGCTGCAGCTGCTGTTGCAAATCCAATCGCCTTTGCTGCAGCAGCAGTTGATTCTGATGCTGATGCTGCAGATTCTGCCGCTGCTGAGTCTGCTGTTCCTGCCCATTCCCTTCTGCCTCCTCGTTCATGCCTGTCAACCGCTCTCCACCCCTACCCGCCTCCGTCTTCCACCAAGGAACCTTCTCCTTCCTTCCCTCTCCTTCTCCCTCGTCAGTTCCCCTGCCGTCTTCGCTCCCTAACTCCACGCCCACCCTCCGCCCCCCACCGCCCTTCCCATCCTCCCCCCTATACTGCTGCTGCTGCTGCTGCCCGTGCTGATACTGCCGTTGCTGCTGCTGCTGCTGCTGCTGCTGCTGCTGCTGCTGCTGCTGCTGCTGCTGCTGCTGCTGCTGCTGCTGCTGCTGCTGCTGCTGCTGCAATTGCCTCTGCTGCTGCTTCTGCTGCTCTTGTGCGACTTGCTGTCGGGCTAGCTGTCTGGCCGTCTGAACCTCCTCAGCAACCTGCTGTGCTGCGAGTTGCTGAGCTGTTGCTGCTCTCTCTGCTGCTCTCTCTGCTGTTGCTTGCTCATCCGCTCGCTGCCTTATCTGCCCTGCTTGTAACGCAGGTGCTGCTCGTGTTGCCTGCGTTGCTTGCACTGCTTGTGCTCCTTGCACTGCTTGTGCTGGTAGGATCTGTGATGCTCCGTGGGGTGGTGTCCCCCGTATGAGCCCTTGGTTGCTGTTGGGAAGGAGCTCGTTACTAGGCCCACCACCCATCCTTGGTTGCTGCTGCTGCATCGCGTGTTGCATTTGCCACGCCTGCTGCTGTTGCTGCTGCTGCTGCGGTTGCCGCTGTTGCTGCTGGTGCTGCAACGGATACTGGTTCTGGTGCTGCTGGTTTTGCTGATTGGACTGCTGCTGCTGCTGCTGCTGCTGCTGCTGCTGCTGCTGCTGCTGCTGCTGATGGTGCTGCTGAAAATGATTCCGGTGCTGATGCAGCTGTTGCTGCTGCTGCTGCTGTTGCAGCTGTTGTTGCTGCTGTTGCTGCTGCTGCTGCTGCTGTTGAAACTGATTATGGTGTTGCTGCTGTTGATTGAGTTGTTGAATGGACTGTTGCTGATGCTGTTGCTGCTGCTGCTGCATCTGATGCTGCTGCTGCTGCTGCTGCTGCTGTTGCTGCATCTGGTGCAGCTGGTGCTGCTGCTGCTGCTGCTGCTGCTGTTGCTGCTGTTGCAGCTGGTGCTGTCGCTGCTGCTGCTGAACCTGCTGCTGCTGTTTGTTCTGATCCTGCACCTGCGGCCACGAAACCTCACCATGCTCCCTCTCTCTTCCCCTCTCACCTCCCATCTCTCTTCCCCTCTCTCTTCCCCTCTCCCTCTCCCTTTCCCCCTCCCTCTCCCTCTCACTCTCCCTTTCCTTCCCCTTCTCGCTCCCCCCCTGCCCGTCTTCCCTTTCCAACGCCTGCACAACCCCCAGCATCTTCCTATACTTAGCCTCTGCCTCCTCTAAAGCCAAATCCACCCCTCTCCGCCGAAACTCCTCTTCCGAAGTAGTTTTCTTCACCGAAATTATCATTCTCAGCACCTCGACCTCTTTCCTCGCTTCCGCTGCTTCTCTCTCCATTCGTTCCGCGTCGGCCAATCGCGACGCAGCAACCGCTTCTAGCTCCTGCACCTGCCATTTCTTCCGCGCTCGCACCTCCTCCACCGCTGCTGCTTCTTTCCGCTTCCCTATCACATCCCTATGGCATTCCGCTAGAGCCTCTCGCGCTGCTTCCAGGCTGGATTGGCACCGAGGCAGAGACGGAGGTTTGGAAAGCGCTGATGTGGGCGCGGTGGGACCGGAGCTGGGTCTAGTATGGCCCGAACCTGGACCGGGAAGCCCGGGAGCAGGTCTGGCCGAGCCTGAGGCGGAGACAACCGGGCCCATGGGAGGGATGGGAGAAGCGGCAGTAGAAGCAGCAGCAGGAGGAGGAGGAGCAGGAGCAGGAGGGGCAGCAATGGGAGCAGATGCGGCGACGGGAGGAGCAGGGGAGGGCGCTACCATTGTTGGGGGAGGGTGAGGAGCAGAAGCAGCTGAAGCGGCGGGGGTGGCAGGATTGGGAGGAGCAGGGGCGAATGTGGCGCCTGCAGGACGAAGGGATGGGGATGGCGAGAAAAACAGGGGCACCTTAGAGACCAAGCAAAAACAAGGAGGGAGACTAGGGGACGAACGAGACGCCTGCAGAACGAAGGGATGGGGATGATGAAAAACAGTCGAGCAGACTTTTGAGGCACCTAAAAAGGGGCACCTCTAGAGACCAAGCAAAAACAAGGGGGGAGGCTAGTATAAGGGAGGAGACTGGGGGGGCGAATGAGGCGCCTGCAGGACGAAGGGATGGGGGTGATGACAAACAGTCGAGCCGGATTCAGGAAGCAAGTGAGTAATGGCAAAAGGCAAAGGTAAACGACAATGAGACGAATCAGAACAACAGTGGTGAGTTGATGCGACACAGCAGATCAGGACAGCGTATCACCTGTTAGAGCACGAAGAGAGCACACAAGGGCAAACATACCCTAACCCTAACTTCCAAGCGCCGCACAAACCCTGAATGTAACCTTCTGTAAGCGGCGGCTTGAATACAAGCAAGCCAAACGACACCCACCCCACTCACTGCTGGCGAAGAAAAGCTGCATGTCGCGACAAATGTCCGCGCACGCCCTGCGCCCCTCCCGCAGCTCCCTCAGCGCCAGCGCCGCCCTCCGCGCAAGCTCGCGCCCGAGCGCGTCCGTGCTCGCGCCGAATATCCCCCCCACGCACTCCAGCTCCCTCCGCGCGGCCTCCGCGTCCCACTGCGCGGAGCACAGGCGGAACACGTCGCGCACGAACCCAAACAGCTCCGACGACCGCGCGCACGCGGGGCACGCGAACTGCGCACTCGTCGCCGCCGTCGCCCCGTCCGCGGAGCCCTCCGCAGCCCCCCCGCCCGCCTGCCCTCCGCCTCTTCCCCCCGCGCCCCCCGCGCTTCCCCCAGCCCCCACTGCGCCATGGCGCACGAACCCCATGTGGAGCGCGCAATCCGTGTGGCACCAATGCAGACAAAAATCGCATCCGATCCAGCGACACGTGTTGGTGTCGAAATCGAATTTCCCGCATGCGACACACATGCACAAATTGCAAAATCCCCCGCCAATTTCCGTGCTAGAAGCAATACCAGCGCTAGTGCCTGCCCCTGAGTTACCCCTGGTGATAGCACCGGTGGTGTTTGCGCTGGTGGTACCGGAAACTCCGGCGGTATTTGTCGCTCCCGCGTCTGCTCCCGCCCGCCCGGATCCCCCCGGTTCGCCGTTGCCTGTCGTGCAGAAACGACAGCGGCAGCCGCCCGCGGGAAGCGGGCTCTGGCAGGCCATGTTCTGACAGCGGCGGCGGAGGAAGATTTCGATCAAAGACGTTGGCGGGATGGCGATATCGGGGTGTAGAAACGCCTGGATGCCGGTCCGAACCGCGACGAGGATCTTAAGATGCGTGTAGTGCGCGCGGGAGAGGGACTCAGTGGTAAGACCCGCGCCGGCGCCCGTACGCGTTATAAGCAGGCGCTGGAGGGAGAGAAACTCCGGCTTGCGGTCGGGCGTGCCGAGAATGTCCCATAGCGAGACGCGAAGCTGCTCCAAATGCGCGGGCGGCGTGGAGCGAAGCTTCGCGGAGACCGCTTCGACGGGGAGGGAGAGGAGGGAGGCGAGAGAGAGAGGCTCGAGGGTCATCGTGGGGGCTTGGGAGTGGGGCGGGGGGCCGGAGAGGAATGGAGGGACGGTTGGTGCTGCACTGCCGCGATGCGGAAACATGAGAACAGCGGCCGGTTGATTGGAACGAAGGTCGGGTGATTGGCCTAACAGCTATTATCTGGTGCAGTATCAGTTCTATCGGACTTCCTGGCTTCCAGATATGCTTGCTATTCAGCTTGCTTCTGATACTTGCAACTTGCCTAGGGAACTTCCTGTAAGCCGAGCTTAGAGTCCAGGCTGCGAATGAGAGTCGTGCGAAAATGGGCGAAGAACGAAATGTTACTCGTACGGGTCCGCGTAGCTGATGTCATGTGAGCTGAAAATACTTAAAGTCACTTCGCTTTCGGACTATGATTCAGCTGCGGCTGCCGTAAGCTGCTCAAGAACTGCACGGGAGGCCGTATGCCTAGGGCGAAAAGCCCTAGGCCTGTTTTGGACAATGAGTTGCCTCGAGAATAGTGCCGGCTTCAAGACTAGGTACGACTGGTACACGGCAGAGGAAAACGAGAAATACTGTATACGAAAACAAGAGATTCTTTAAGTCAGGTTTGAGGACGAAATGAGGAGGCAAAGCCTGGTCCTGGATAATTGTGTAAGCTAAGGCAGCTGCGACTGTGAAGGCAGGAGGATACCAGTCCAGCTTTGCGTGTACGCCTCTCCACCATCCCCCTCCTATCACTTAGTTATGCCAGGAATGGATCAGGCTTGTCACACAACCACATCGTTGGCTGTAAGGAACGAGGAGGCGACTCAGGCGCAAGTACAGTACACACGATGGTCAACCCCTGCGCGCGAATTTTCCCTGAAGCGGATGAAAAGTCTGCACCCGTTTTTTTTACGGGCCAGTTGCACCCACATTACAAGCCCCTTGAGCAAGTTGCAGTGGTTAAGCACCAATAAGAACCACAGAAACCGACGTCAAACAGAAGAGGCCGAAGTCAAACTGTCAACGGGGAGTTACAATTGTTTTATAGGCCCTCTTCTGCTAGGTGCGACGTTGACGAAATTCGCGAAATCCCGAGAATCACTAAAAAGCCCCCTTCACAAGGAAAACTTGGGTTAGTCAAACGAGCATCGTGTGTAGTACAGTAGCGCGAGTGCTTGCTTGCTGGACGAACGAGGTGACAGGCGCAGAGCAGAACCAACACAAAGGAGTGCAACCACAGTGCTGCCAAGTGGGGAGACAGACGAGAGTCAAAGACGAAGAGTTCAGTGTACACCTGATGCGCGTTTTAGTCCCCCAAGGTGCTCTTGTGCTTTGGGCTTATAACCGATTTCTGCAGTACGCGCACTTCGTTGGGGTTCGCAACGGGAACGAGGTGCCTATAAATGGCACATGTTGTAACACGCTTGTCCTTTCCCCCAAGACTATGGGGCGGCCTCGTTTGTTTCCCAACTGTATGCTAGGTTACCATAATTTTCGCCCAAATCAAAGACCCACCATTACATTCCACAATCCACCTTGTCACAAACATCACATTGACAACACCGCCCAATAACAACGCACCGCCTGTAAGCCACCCCTCCCCCCCACAATTGTCCTCGACATTGATACAGGACATGGCAAATGTGCACAAGGGGTACACAAATTGCATTAGACGAGGCAATCAAAGCCTCCAAGAGAGGAAACACCCCTCTCACAGCCGCATCCACTCTGCGGCAGCCAGGTACCCGCTCATGATGGCGGGTGCACCGGCCTCAATGAGCTCCTGGCGGCGGGCCGTCTGCGCCACCCAGTCGGGGGTGGGCACGTGCATCCACGCCGGGAGCACCCTACCGCGGCGACGAGGGGTCTCCGGCGGCGGGGTGTCGGCGTGAGTCACTGCCCGGGGGGGGGGGGGGGGGGGGGCGTGGTTGAGATCAAGAGCGGGACTTGCGCGCTCCATTCGCGCAACGATGATCGGGTTGCGAATGTCAAAAAGCGCGCAAAGGTCGCGCGGCGTCATGCAGGTCGCCCGCGCGTAGCCGATCAACATCTCGCACGCCGCGCGCGCGGTGCGACGAGCCTCGCGAGATGCGGGGTTGCTGTCGTCGTACACCGCCTGCATGTTAGCAGGCGCCTCCCACATTGCGGCGGCATCGCTTGACAACGGCTCCCTCGCAAGTGGATCCTCGCCCGGCTCAGCGCAAGTGGGCTGGTTATCATCGATGCCCACAAAAGCCTCAGCGGCCATTGCACTAGAGCCGAGGCACAGGCGGTCGATGAGAAGGCCTACACCGTTGACCTCCTGGTCGAGGCCGATGTCGGCCCCATTCGCACCGGCCGCGCCGGTGCCGCCGTTGTTGCAGTTGCCGCCGTTGTTGCAGTTGCCGCCGTTGCCGGTTTCCACGTGCGCGAGAGACAAGGCCCACACGCGCGGCAGACATCCCGTGCGCCACCAGCAGCGCTGGATGGCGCGGACCGGGATGTTCATCCAGGCGTCATTAAGCCACTCCACCACGGCTCGCATATTCGGCCTGAAGCGAACAGCAGCAGACGTGGCGCCGTCCGCCGACCACGCCTGGGTGAAGGCGCGGAGCCAGTGATGGCGGTACCGTGCCTTTGCCATGGAGATGAGGCCCTGGTCGAGGGGCTGGGTGAAGCATGTCGTGTTCGGCGGCAGGTAGACGAGGCGTACGTTCCCGAGCGCGACGGTGCGGAACCCGAACATGTCCTCCGTCGTGGCGCCCTCGGTCTTGAGCGTGTGGCTGCTTGCATTGTCGAGCAGCACCACGATCTTCTTGCCCTCCGCGTACATAGCAGCATCGAGCTGCTCAACGTAGTGGGTAAACAACTGCGAGGGAAGCACGGGGAGCGGGAAGAACAAGTCAGAAACATTTGCACACAAATGTTCACACACCACTCAAGTAAACCAACGGCAACATGTGCATGTTCTAAGTTGTATTTTGTACTCACCGAGCTCGTCATCCACCCCTTCGCGTTGTGGCGCCAGTAGCAGTACTCCTCGGGGTTGTAATCGGGGCGGAAGTCGTGTGGCCGCCTCGCCTTCGAAATGATCAACGACCTGAAGAGGCGTGACCCGTCGGCGTTGACGAGGAAGCCGACGGTCAAGCGCTGTTTGGCAATCTTCCTCCCAGCCGTGCGAACGCTTCCGTAAGTCTTTCGCGGCAGGATAGAGATGTACAACGCGGTCTCGTCGAAGTTGAACGCGTTGCTAGGGGTCACGGCGAGATGCATCAACAGCTGCGGCAACTTCTCCTTCGTGACACGTACGGCATTCATGTCCTGGTCCGCGGCTTCGCCGACCGCGCTCATGCAACGGACTCCTTGACGGCGCAAAGCGCGACGGACCCAGCCGATGGAGCAGCGAAAGGAGGGCGGGGCACCATTAGCGCTGGCCATGTTCGCGACGTGGTCGCGGATAGTGGCCAACGTGAGCGGCACACCCGCGGGTCCCGCATTGGCGATCCACCGGGCCATGGCGCGCTCGAGCACCGGATAAGCTCCGCCGCGGACGCGGATGTTGTCAGCGGCGGCATCGGTGCGCACCCAACGGTCGGCACCCTTGAGTACGCGACCAATGGTGCTGCGGTCGGGATGAATTCCGAACCGAGTGAAGCACCAGCGAGCAAGGTCGACATGGCGCAGCTGCGGGTGTGCGACGTGGTGCTCGCATATTGCCCTCTTGATGGGCAGGCCGAGCTGCGTACGGTGGTAAAGGCGCGGCATAGTGGTTAGCGCTGAATAAGGAGAACTTGAGTTACGGGAGGAAACGCATGGCTTCTTATTCTACTTCTGGACAGTGTCTCAGCGGCGTGAGTGGGCGCGCACATTGACAATGTTGTGACTCGAATTGCATTTGAGCACTTGCATCTGGAACTGGTTTTAGATCATGTGCTACCAGGTAACCACCACCATGCGATGTGACGTGTGAAAGCTGCACATCGTGAGGACGAGGGGGTGTCTGTACCGGGCTGTGGCAATGTACAGGTGGCGTGGGGATTTTGCATTTGGTCTGTTAGGCGCACCTTGAAACCGCTTACGTGTCGAACCTGGGTGCGCGAATGCGGAAACCTCTGTCAGACGATTTCGTACACACACTTCGTCCTTGTTGTTTCTAGCCTTGAAACAGAGCAACACTGGGCGTGCTATGTTTGTTTTATCGGCTGAATACATTGTTGGTTGTATCGAAGCAACTAGGGCAGATGGTCCAAGGGGTCTGTACCGTGGGTGCATCATCAGGGCAAAAAACCCACGGGTGCAGGGTTTCCAATTTGTGCAGGGCAATTTCGCGTGCAGGGGGTGAGCATCATGTGTACTGTGCGTCTGTCTCTGCTTCTTCGCCTACGTACTGAAGAACTCGAAATGTGCCTCGCAAGAAGGCCGGAAGTCTCTAGAATCTCTACATAACCTTGGAAACTCTGTTGTGTACACTTGATGCCCCTTTCGCGCCCGTTCCCCATGTTGCAGTTTGCGCCTCTCACGAGCTCGTGGCTGGCTGGGGCGTTTTGGGCTTGTTTGGGGTACTGGGGTTTCGTTCTCCTATACAGTGTCAGGTTACCACCCGAAATCTGGTCAAGTTACAGCTGCTGGTCCGAAGCGAACTGTGGATTTACAGGCAAAACAGGACTTCGTCGTGGGCCTGTCCCGAATGGGCCGTTTCCCGTGAATGACGACCACTGCTCCTGTGGAATGCCTGTGGGCCTCTTGAGAATGGGCGGTTGACTGTGCATCAAGTGTAGTGCAGCCATTATCTACACTCGGACTGCTCAAAGCTGGTTATCACGTGGTATAGACTGTTTCAGTGTGGTACAACAGGGTTCACAGGTTCAAATCTACACTTCAGAAAGTAACCCTCGATTTTCCTTTCCTTCCAAATCGATTGACGCGACCGGAGGACAAGACAGCTGTGTGGCGTGGCCAGGCCACATGATGGGCAGGATTTCCGTGCAGGGGTCAGGATCGCATCACAGAACTGGCGGTCAGAGCGAACGCGTAACAGTTGCCCCATTAGCGCTACACTACACCTACACACAAGAGCTGTCACGTTTGTGCTACAGTCTGAATAGTGTTCCTCGAACAGCTACTCTATAGCACATAGCCCATCTGTTTATATCGAACAGAATGTACTATCCACGTTCGGCTCCTATGATAGAGATTGGATGAAAATAAAATCACCAACCACGGCCACTTTCACACTCATCATAGTTGGGGTATGTCATCTTCGACTTCATGCGGTGGTTATGACGGCTGTCGTTCCGTAGCCATGGCTGGAGCCTGTGTCAGTCTGATGAAGACACGCGGGCCACTACTCGTTATTACACGTGAAGCGTTGACTTGGTAGCCCATGAAGTTTCGACTAGTCAATTTTTTATATCGACGCTATGACGTAACATGGTAGCCCATGAAGCGATTCTCATGTTCACTTCCGATTTTTCTTCACGTTCCGTTGTCAGTAATTTGTTATTTACATCGTTATCTTTTCTCTTTATCCGTCTTGATTGCTTTCTGTCGGCGGGTGCCTCCAGATCAAGACTCTCTCGTCGAGGCGAAAGTCGATCGACCACCGCTCTTCCTTGCTATACCAGCCGCAGCTCTCATGTGTGCTTCCCGGACGTTTGCTTACGGGACACCCGCGTGTAATCGTGCCCATTTGTTTTGACAGTGCAGATTAACTTCCGAGTTTTTTTTTCACGAGTCTCTTTAACATGTATTGTCACATCCAGGCGCTTGCTTCCATCTCTCGCATCCTGTGTGATTTCCGAGGGCGCGGTCGTCTCTGAGCATGCTGCAGTGCAGTGCCAGCCGTCTGTCAGGTTTCTGGGTCCTTTTTATCTGCTAATTAAGCGGGCACACGAACAAAAGAGGTGAGAGATCTGAACCCTTACTAAAGAACCAGACAAATATTGGCTGCTGATTTAGAAAGTGCAGTTTGTTCTGCTGCCACATAATGGTCTCTTAGGCCCTCTTATCAAGCTTCTGATAGCCTTAAGAGATGTTCGTGTGGCACAGACCAAAGCTTAGAGCTGGAGAGATAATGTGCTTGTGGGAGGGGAAAGCACCTTAGCTTGGGTGCACTCCAACGGTGCCCACATAGTTAACGCCCTCTCCATACCTCAAACTGCCTTCTCTCCCTCCCAGTCTATGTTTTCTCATTCAGTTCATTCATTACGCAGGGGAATAGCTTTGTCTTTAGGGGGGCAGTGTGCTCTCTTGTGAAGGGAGTGTGTTTCCTGTGAAGTAATTGCTAGTAGAAGCTTGCATTCTCTGACAGATTGAAAATGTCTCTCCATGTGTGTGTCTGCAGGTGCCCTGCTGATTGACATGACAGTGGGAGTTTATGTGGTTCTGTCCATGGTTTTCAAAGTTTGGCAGTTTGATTCAATATTTTGCAACCAATCTAGTGTTATAAAGTCGATTAGCTAGCTGTTCACATAAATATTTTTAATATTTTGTCAATTTTATCAGTACAGCCTATTGTGGAGCAGTTCAAAATCTATTTCATATCGACAAAGCCGACCCAGTAACTGTAACACACTTCTCACGTTCGCAGGAGTTACTGTAACTGTGCTCGAAGGAGCACCTTCTACACTTCCTCGACCAGAGGGCAATCCCGAGGCTCAAATTCTGGATCTCTCTGTCTTGTTTCGGAATTCTCCCTGGTCACGGATCCTAGCCATGGCGACTGCTTCAGGTAGGTTTCCCCGCTTATTAGTGCATTCGTGTGTATTTTAGAGTCGTCGTATATTAACTCACCAGATCCTGCTGTCACGTGCTCGAGATCAAGTCCAAATTCCGGACTTCGTGGGTTATTTTAGAGTTCTCCGTAACACCTTTTCCGCATCTGGTAACTCTTTTCGAGAGTTCGTTCTGGTGCCATGTGTGCAGCATCGCGCGGATTCATGGCCATCCTCGCTATTATCTCGCTCGTTTTCGCCGGATCTTGCGCGGCGGTCGTCAATGCGTCGCCATTAGCAACCGTGGAAGCAGCAAAGACTCTCGCAGTTCCGTTGGAAGACGGCTCCTACGGCAGGTGAGATTTGATCCAAATGAGTTTCTCAAAATCCTCGATGCTCTCAATCGTCAATGCGTCGCCGTTAGCAACCGTGGAAGCAGCAAAGACTCTCGCAGTTCCGCTGGAAGACGGCTCCTATGGCAGGTGAGATTTGACTCACATGACCTCATCTGTTTTCGTAATAGACTCCATTTTTTCGCTGCTGTCAATCTTCATTCCGTTTATTTGGCCGACCATGAACACATTCTGGTTCCGTCCTTTCCGAAGGCCGCTCATACATCAGCTGAATGTAAGTTCTTTTATCTTTGTGTGGGATAAGTGGCATCTGTCGGACGGCATACGATCGTCGTGTCGATGTTTACTATATCGAAAGTCCTTTCTCCATTAATCCGATGGTTTATGACCGTATTAGATCAGCCCGACGGTTGCTGGACTTACATGGTCTGACTTTCTGGTGAGCGAATGTTAGATCGTGGAATCAGATTCTGCTGGTTACCATGTTAGACTCTCTTGTTTGCCGCCGGACACGATGATGCCGCATTTCCGTTTCAGATCACATGATCGGCCGTTATATTAGTCAATCAGTGCCGGTGAGACGAAGCGCGCCCGTTTTGCTCGTCTCGTCATCCTAGGGAGGGGCGAAATTGTTGTGGAGTAGTTGTTTTTTTACTTGCAATCTTACGCGTCATACCGTTGTCAGCGTTTCGCTCAATCGCGCTCTTCCTTTCCACCACGTACCGTTTCTCGTCTCCCCGGTTTAACGGAGACATTTCATGCTGTGAATCCCGTTATTGCTGTTTTCCGAGGAGTCTCAAAACTAAGCGCATAATTGCCTCTGGTCTCATCATGTGCTGCCGTCGCATTCTCCCTTTCCACCTCTTGCCGTTTCCCATATCACCAGCTTGAAGGAGACCTTTCAGGCAGTCAAGCTTCTGAGCGTGGTCTCGAAATCGTCGCTCGATTCGGCCAAGCTCTGCGCGTGGTTGAAGAAGCTTCCCGCCGCCACGTCAGCAGAGGAGGCCTTCCAGAAGGTGTCGATCGCTGCTGCGCTCGGCTGCAAGGGCGTTAGCGCCGTTGTCAAGGTAATTAAGGCCTCAAGCAGCGACGGTGTTCACGTAATTGTTGAAGCAACCTCAAAGCAGCCTTTCTTGTTGCAGCCTTTTCTTGTTGCAGCCATGGTACCCGCGTCACAACGTTTCACGCTTAAAGCCAGGGTCTCATGTAAGCTAAGGAGCCATCGACTGCAAAGCACTTGAAGCTAGGTAACCAAGTTAGTGCTGGCGAAGTTGTCTCTGGTTGGGTTGGAAACTCAGCTTGCGTCACTGCCCCAAAAGCAATTGCACAACACTTTTGGGTACTTGAGACTTTCGATGAGTTGGGGGCATTTTAGGTTTGGCTCCGAACCAAGTTTCCAAGCCTAGATGGTTCGGTTACCCCCAGCGATTTACGTTCGCTTCGCACCCCTCGCTTCACCCCACTTCTAACCTTACACCTCGCCAACCAATCAAAGCCACACTTTCACCATCAATTGCAAAGCACTTGTAGTACGTGAGACCCTGGCTTTAAGTTATGTTCATGCGTTGTGTGTCTCATGAACACTCCCTCTGCCCCACACTCCTTGTTTGTTTGCAGGAAGCAGAGCCTCTCTTTTCCGCATCAGCATCCTCTTCGTCCCTCGACCAGCTGTTCTATGCTGCAGCCGGCACGCAGATCCTCAAGGTGAGTTAAGGTGATGCCTTTGAGGGACAGAGTGAGACAGAGAGAAAGAGCAAGCTCACTTGCTGTGAGCGGTGCTTCCTCTTCGTCCCTCGACCAGCTGTTCTATGCTGCAGCCGGCACGCAGATCCTCAAGGTGATGCAAGGAGACGCATTCGTGCAATAGAGAGAAAGATAGAGGGAAAAAGCTAGCGACCTTACTTGCTGGGAATGGACCCTCTTTTGTCTGCAGCAGCCTTTCCTTTTTCCTCCCCTGCGTGCTCATTGCTCCATCCGTGCCCTCCTCCCCTACGTATGCTCCAATGTAACAACCAAACAACAGGCCAACAAGTGGAGCACTGGATCCGTGCCTTCAGGTCTCAAGAAGGCTGCCGCCGCAATCCTCGTAAGCCTCTCATCTATGCTGCTATCCTTGAGCTCCTTATGAGGTTTGGCACTAGTGTCACATGTGGTTTCGTTGTAACCGCTTGTAATATTTGTTTCAGAATTTTTGTGGGGAAGAAAGAACAAAAGCTTAAGCATCTTTGTGCATCTTTAGGCACTTAAGCAGGCGTATCGCACATGAGCGTTGAAACGCTTCAAATTCTGAGACTTTTCGATACTGTGCTTTGTGTATTCTCAGGCATTGAAGCAGGCGGATGGCACGTGGGCAGCGGCGAAGGACAGCCAGGGGGCGTCGTCCGTGGCTGCCACGGGCGTGGCACTCGAGGCACTGGCTGCACTCAAGGAGCTGGGACTGGTGGACGAGAAGCAGGTGGGAATCGGGATGGGTGAGAGCTAGGTGAGGGATGGGAAGCAGGTGGGGCTGTTGAAAGGTGAGAGGTTGTGGTGCTGCGGGCGTGGCGCTCGAGGCACTAGCTGCACTCAAGGAGCTTGGGCTGGTGGATGAGAAGCAGGTGAGAGTCAGAGTGGTGACAGCTAGATGTGATGGGGAGGGGAGCAGGTGATTAGTGGGGCTGTTGAAAGGTGAGAGGTCGTGGTGGTGCTGTGGGCGTGGCTCTCGAGGCTCTGGCTGCACTCGAGGAGCTGGGGCTGGTGGACGAGAAGCAGGTGGGGTGGTTGCGAACCAGAGGTTCGGATTGGGAGGTGATTTTGCTTGGTACCTGCGCACGCACTGGATAAAACTCTTTCTTGACTGGGTGGTTGCGATTGGGAGGTGATTTTGCTAAGTAATGGAGTTTCTTAGCTCGTTCTTTAGCGAGTGGATGTTTTAGTGCTCTGTGTGTTCTCGTGACAGTGCTCTGATGTGTGTGTCAGAGCTCTGATGTGTGCATTGTGTGCATGTGGCAATGCTTCGCTCTGCATGTGGCAGGTGTCTGCGGTTACAGATGCTGTCGGATCGCTCTTCTCTCTCCTCACAGCTGACTGTAAGAAACGCTCCGCGTACTCGTTGTACAGCCCTTCGTCTCGCACTGTTAAGTGGAATCAACTGTCAACTTGCTCTTTCCCTCCTCACACTTGACTGTTTGTATGGATCTCTCTCCTCCTCCCTCGCCACTGCATCTGCCCTCACGGGCTACCTTGCCCTCGCCTCCACTCTCTCCTCCCCTCTCTTCCTTCACCCTGCCTCGTTTTCACTCCCCCCCACCCCCTGCGCCCGGTTCCCGCCCTCCCGTCCCTCCCCTGCCCCTCTCCCCGCTTTCCTCCCTTCACCACCCCCCCACTACCCCGCCCCCCGGTTCTCCCACTCGTCCAGCCGATCCCAGTGGCAACGCAGTTTCATTCTTCTCAGCCTCCCCCGCGGAGGGCGGGACTCTCGTCGCCACGGCCTCCGCCGTCACGGGCTACCTCGCGCTCGCCTCCACCCTCTCCTCCCGTTTCTTCCTTCACCCTGCTTCTCTCCACCCTCTCCACCCTTTCCATTCCCCCACTCCCTGCGCCCCGTGCCTGCCCTCCCCGTCCCTCCCCTGCCTGTCCCCATCGTACCCTCTCCCAGCTGATCCTAGTGGCAATGCCGTTTCATTCTTCTCAGCCTCCCCCGCAGAGGGCGGGACTCTCGTCGCCACTGCCTCTGCCATCACGGGCTACCTCGCGCTCGCCTCTACGCTCGCCTCCCCGCTCGCCGTGCGCCCCCCCAAGGTGGCGGAGGCGGGGCGCTATCTGGTGGCGGCGCTGCCCCTCTCCCTCGCGGAGGCCGCCGCCTGGGCGGAAGCGCTCGCTGTGCTTGATAACAACCCGTGAGTTGGGCTGAATGAAGAACAGAGTATGGGGGGGCAGGAGAAGGGGGGAGAGTGGGGGGGAATGCGGGCGGGGAGGGAGGGTGAGGAGAGGGAAGGGAAGGGGAGGGAAAAAGGGGGAGATTGGTACGGGTTACCTCGCGCTCGCCTCCACGCTCGCCTCCCCGCTCGCCGTGCGCCCTCCCAAGGTGGCGGAGGCGGGGCGCTATCTGGTGGCGGCGCTGCCCCTCTCCCTCGCGTTACCGCTGCATGGGCGGAAGCCCTTGCTGTGCTTGATAACAACCCGTGAGTTGGATGAGGAACAGAGAGGAGGGGGAGGGAGGGATTGGGAAGGGAGGGGGGGGGAAGAGTGGGAGGCGGGGCGCTATCTGGTGGCGGCGCTGCCCCTCTCCCTCGCGTTACCGCTGCCTGGGCGGAAGCGCTCGCAGTGCTTGATAACAACAAGTGAGTGGTGGAACAGAGTGGTGGGAGGTGGGGGATGGATAGGGAGGAGGAAGGGTAGAGTGGGAGGCGGGACGCTATCTGGTGGCGGTGCTGCCCCTCTCCCTCGCGGAGGCTGCTGCATGGGCGGAAACCCTCGCGGTGCTTGATAACAACCCGTGAGTTGGATGAGGGACAGAGAGAAGGGGGGAAGAAGTGGTGGAGGGGGAGAGACTGGGGAAAGAGGGTGAGGGCGTGGGCGGAAGCACTCTCTGTGCTTGATAACAACCCGTGAGTTGGTTGAGGAACAGAGAGAAGGAAGGGGGGGAAGGAGGAGGGGAAGAGAACGGAGAGGGTGGGTGAGGTGGAAACTGCTGCCTGGGGGAATACTCTTGCAGTGCTTGATAACAACCCGTGAGCTGGTTGAGGAACAGAGGGTTGGGCGGGAAGGGGAAAGGGGCCAAGGGGTTTCTCGAACCCTGATGAGCTGTACGCTTCCCTGCTCGTTCCTCCCGTGTATCCCACACTGTCCCTCTTTCGCACCATCTCTTTCCTCGTTATCTCACGCTCCTGTTCCTCCTTTCTTTTATCCACCCTCTGTTGTATTCCTTCCCTCTTGAAATGCCTTTCTTCACATTTGAATCCTGCTTCCGCGCTTCGTCACTCATCCTGTCCACCTCCCATAATCTCCTCCCCCATCCCACTCCTCCCCCTGCTCCCCCTAACCATGCAGCATCTTTGTGCCCATCTTCCTCTCGTCTCCCGGCCACATCTCCGTCTCTGCAGACCCCACGCTCACTGTAAGTCGTCCTTCCTCCCATAAGCACGCTTGGTTACTGTGAGTCCACCCTCCCCTCGGCCGCTGCAGCATCCCTGTGCTGTGCTGTGCCCATCCTCCTCTCGTCCCCCGGCCACATTTCCATCTCCTCAGACCCCGCACTCACTGTAAGTCCTCCCACCTCCCATAAGCATGATCGGTCACTGTGAGTCCGCCCTCCCCCCAGTGACCCAGTCAGGCAGCATCTCTGTGTTGTGTTGTGCCCATCCTCCTCTCGTCCCCCGGCCACATTTCCATCTCCTCAGACCCCACACTCACTGTAACTTCTTCCAACTCCTTTCTGCACGCTCGCTGCTGTACATCCTTCCTTCCACCCCACCGAAGCACACTCACTGTAAATCCTCCCACCCCTTGTGTCACTTGCGTCGCCCCTATCGCTCGCATCACTCCTGTCCATCCCTTCCATCCCTGGCTGATTCACACTGCGCACCCCCGCACCTGCGAACCCCCCCGCCCCCCCCTCCCCTTCCCCTCTTGTGTGACTGCAGGTGAGTGTGACAACTGCACTGGGAGGGAAGGTGCCAGGCGTGGCAGTGAAGCTGCAGAGCGCCACAACCCCTTCCATCCCTGCCTCTTTCGTACTCATGTTCACCCACCCCACCCATTTTCCGCCCCCCCACCTCTACACACCACCCACCCCCCCCCCCCCGCGCTCTCTCCCTGCCCGCCTTCTCTGTGTGACGGCAGGTGAGTGTGACAACAGCGCTGGGAGGCAAGGTGCCAGGCGTGGCAGTGAAGCTGCAGAGTGCAACTATCGGGGGCGGCAGTGCTGCGTCAGGCAAGGAGCTCACAGCGGGCAAGGACGGCGTCTCCTTCTCTGCCAAGCCATTCTCCAAGGCATCTACCCTTGGAGTCTACACGCTCAAGTTCAAGGTATGATGCCGGTGCCAGTTACACAACGAGTAGATGGGGGTGGGTTGAGGCGCAAATAGAGGGTAGCAGCGCTCCGTGCATCGGGCAAGGAGCTCACAGCGGGCAAGGACGGCGTCTCCTTCTCCGCCAAGCCATTCTCCAAGGCCTCCACCCTTGGAGTCTACACGCTCAAGTTCAAGGTGAGATGCCGAAGTCAACGCAAGTCAAGGCAAAGTCAATTCAAGTCAAGGCAGTCAATGGAGTCAAGGAGCTGGCAGCAGGCAAGGACGTTGTCTCCTTCTCTGCCAAGCCATTCTCCAAGGCCTCCACTCTGGGGGTCTACACGCTCAAGTTCAAGGTGAGAGGGCAAAGTCAACGCAAGTCAAGGCAGTCAATGGGTGGCTGTTCTTGAATAGAGTCTGTGCATCGGGCAAGGAGCTGGCAGCGGGCAAGGACGTTGTCTCCTTCTCTGCCAAGCCATTCTCCAAGGCCTCCACTCTGGGGGTCTACACGCTCAAGTTCAAGGTGAGAGGGCAAAGTCAACGCAAGTCAAGGCAGTCAATGGGTGGCTGTTCTTGAATAGAGTCTGTGCATCGGGCAAGGAGCTGGCAGCGGGCAAGGACGTTGTCTCCTTCTCTGCCAAGCCATTCTCCAAGGCCTCCACTCTGGGGGTCTACACGCTCAAGTTCAAGGTGAGAGGGCAAAGTCAACGCAAGTCAAGGCAGTCAATGGGTGGCTGTTCTTGAATAGAGTCTGTGCATCGGGCAAGGAGCTGGCAGCGGGCAAGGACGTTGTCTCCTTCTCTGCCAAGCCATTCTCCAAGGCATCTACCCTGGGGGTCTACACGCTCGAGTTCAAGGTGAGAGGGCAAAGTCAACGCAAGTCAAGGCAGTCAATGGGTGGCTGTTCTTGAATAGAGTCTGTGCATCGGGCAAGGAGCTGGCAGCGGGCAAGGACGTTGTCTCCTTCTCTGCCAAGCCATTCTCCAAGGCATCTACCCTGGGGGTCTACACGCTCGAGTTCAAGGTGAGAGGGCAAAGTCAACGCAAGTCAAGGCAAGTCAAGGCAGTGGATGGTGTGGTGGGCTGAAAGTCGAATCCAGGGCAGCAGACCTATGTTCTTCCGGCAAGGATTTGTCAGCAGGCAAGAAGAATGGCGCCTCATGGCGCCTCTTTCTCAAGCAAGCTTGTTAAGCAAAGCACCTCTGCCTATTTTTGAGGCGCCTCAAAAGAAGAATGGCGCCTCATGGCGCCTCTTTCTCAGGCAAGCTTGTTAAAGCACCTCTGCCTGCTTCTGTCCCCTCTTCCCCCCCCCCCCCCCTCCCCCCGGCCCCATCCCCCCTTCCCCTGCTTCCCCCGTTATATCTTCCCTCGTTTCCAGATCACCCCCCCGGCGGACTCGGCCTTCATTGCCGGCAGCGCATCAGTGGAACGCCGTCTGCTGCTCTCCTAACCACCCGGCCTGTTTCTCTCCTTCCCACCTCTTGCCTCCCATGTTCCCCTCTTTCACTTGTGCTTTCCTCTCCAGATCACCCCCCCTGCGGACTCAGCCTTCATTGCCGGCAGCGCATCAGTGGAGCGCCCGCTGCTGCTCTCTGCCTCCATGGCAGTCACTGGCGTGACTGTGGCCGTGCTGGACAGCGACGGCGCCACTCCTGAGTCTGAAAAGAAGTGAGTATCTTTAGGCAGTGATGTCCTAGGCATGGGTGAGTCCCGTGTGGAGCTGTGGTTGTGCGGTCAGTAAGAACGCTGCTCTCCGCCTGTAGAAAGTAGATTTTTGAGACGTCTCAAAAATCTACTTTCTACACGTCCTGTGTGGATCTGTGGTTGTGAGGTCAGTAAGAGCGCTGCTCTCCGCCTCCATGGCCGTCACGGGCGTGTCTGTGGCTGTGCTAGACAGCGATGGCGCCACCCCTGACCGAGAAGAAGTGAGTACCTAGGCGCGGGTGAGTGTAGTGCGGGAGTGTGTCAGGAGGACTACAGTGGAGCGACCTCTGCTGCTCTCCGCCTCCATGGCCGTCACGGGCGTGTCTGTGGCTGTGCTTGACAGCGATGGCGCCACTCCTGAAGCCGAGAAGCAGTGAGTGCGGAGAGGTAGTGAGTGCCTTGGTGTGCATGAGTCCAGTGTGATGGTGTGTCCGGTTCGAGGGACCAGGGTGACTGCGAGTTTTATTGGGTGCATGTCCGCTAGGCTCTGGTGTGTTGAGGTCAGTAAGAGCACTGTTTTGTTTCCCCATGCAGTCTGTAGGTTCTCATTGTCTCCTAATCTTCTCCACCCTCCACTCTTCTACGCTCCCCTTCTCCCCCCCCCCCCCCCCCCCCCTGCCCTTCCCTGCCAGGCTGGACTTTGAGAAGAGGACAAACTTCACCGACCTCTCTGCCACCCACCTGCAGAAGCTGCGCGTGTCCCTCTCCCTGGCCACGCCCTCGGGGAAAGCCTTCGTTCCCCACCATGTAAGGGGCACCCTAGAACACCACTTCCTTTCATACGCCTCTGGAAGGGACGAGTATTCTGACCAGGTAAAGGGTACCTAGCATACTTCTTGCTTTCTGTGCGAAGCTTGTCGTGAGACTGTTTCCAAAGCTTTAGTAAAAGAATGTATACCCTGTAGAAGCTTTCAGGCGAGCTGCAGTCTAGAGAAAGTATTGCTTCCTGTGCGAAACTTGTTATGAGACTGTTTCCAAAGCTTTCCTTCTCATCTCGCATTCGTTCGTTCGCCTTCCCCCTTCCTCCTTCCTCCCCTGCCCTCCTTTTTGTCGTCTTTTTTCGCCCTGTACCTCTCGGGCGGTGTTGCAGCTGGTGAATGGCATCGGCATGGCCTACTCTTTCGTTCCTGCTTCAGATGCTGCTTTGAAAGCTTCCAGACACCCCGTCTCGTCCACCTTTGCCGTTTCCCTCCCCTCCAATGCCTCTCAGGCGGTGCTACAGCTGGTGAACGGCATCGGCATGGCCTACTCGTTCCTGCTCAAGCCATCCGGCAGCACCCTCTCCGTGCAGCTCGTGAGTGCAGTCTTTCCAGCTACTGCCCCGCTAGCCTGCCACACCCTCTCTAGCAACACCCTCGTTAGCCACACTTTCTCTTTCCTCACTCGCCCTGTCTACACTTCACCGTTTCTTTACTCCAACAGGAGGTGCTGGAGATGATGGACCGCCTGTTCTACCACTCGGGCAAGTACTCTCTCAATTAACTATTGTCCGTCTACTCTCTCCACCGCTTTGCACCGCTCCCTACCCACCCCAACAGGAGCTGCTGGAGATGATGGGGCGGCTGTTCTACCACTCGGGCGAGTACACTCTCAAGCTGATTATTGGAGACCAAGTCATGGATAACGCCTTTGACTGGCAGCTGGGCTCTGTTGACCTCGACCTGCCTGCTGCCCCCATCCCACCTCCTGCTACTCACTCCACCCCTTTTCACCGCTCCCCATCAACACAAACAGGAGCTGCTGGAGATGATGGAGCGCCTGTTTTACCACTCGGGCGAGTACACTCTCAAGCTCATTGTGGGCGACCAAGTCATGGATAACGCCTTTGACTGGCAGCTGGGCTCTGTTGACCTCGACCTGCCTGCTGTCCCCGTCACACCTCCTGCTACTCACTCCACCCCTTTTCACCGCTCTCCCATCCTCTCCTGTCACACAAACAGGAGCTGCTGGAGATGATGGACCGTCTCTTCTACCACTCGGGAGAGTACACTCTCAAGCTCATCATCGGCGACCAAGTCATGGATAACGCATTCGACTGGCAGCTGGGCTCTGTTGACCTCGACCTGCCTGCTGCCCCCGAGACTGCCCCCAAGCTGCCCCCCCGCCCTGAGTCTCTGGCTGAGAGATTCTCTGCCAAGCCCGAGGCATTATCGATCTCGACCTGCCTGCTCCCCTCACAATTCCCTCTACTCTCTCCACTCCTTTGCACCGCTCCCCACCCACCCCAACAGGAGCTGCTGGAGATGATGGAGCGCCTGTTTTACCACTCGGGCGAGTACACTCTCAAGCTTTTTGTGGGAGACGCAGTCATGGATAACTCCTTTGACTGGCAGCTCGGCTCTGTTGACCTTGACTTGCCTGCTGCCCCCGAGACTGCCCCCAAGCTGCCCCCCCGCCCGGAATCTCTGGCGGAGAGATTCTCTGCCAAGCCCGAGATTGCGCATATCTTCCGCAAGCCGGATTCCCGGCCGGCGTTTGTTGTCTCGTACTCGTTTGTGGCGCTCGTGCTGCTGCCGCTGGTGGTGCTGCTCGTGGGGGTACGTGTGTTGTGAAGTTGTGCCGTTTGGGAATTGTGGGGTACGGGGGTGTGTAGTGTGGGGGTACTTGATGTGATGTGAGGATATGTGTTTGTGGGATTCTATGTGGTGTGTGTGAGGTTACATGTGGCGTTTGTGCTCGGTGTACCCCTTTTTCACTGCCTCAATCTTAGTTGTCACAGCGCTGCTGCCCTCTCCTGGCGCTCAGCTGATCGCCCAGCTTTTTGCGTGCCCTGTCATCCATCGTTCCCTTCGTCTTAAGCTGTCTCCCACTCCAGTTATCCGTGGCACCGCGTCTCTAATGCACACAGCATAATCCTTGCCCTCTCATCCATGCCTCCCCATTCCTCTCCACCCTTCCCACCTCTCTCCACCTCTTCCCACCCCTCCTCACTTCACTCCACAGCTGGCGGTGCTAGGAGTGAATCTCAAGGCCTTCCCTTCGGGGGGTGTGCCTCTCCTCTCAGCTCTGGCCTTTCACGGGGGGATTGCTGCTCTACTGCTGCTCTACGTTGCCTTCTGGGTGCAGGTATGTGGGACGGTGGCTGCAGGTATGGGGATCGTGGGTGCACGTATGGGGGATTTTTGGTGCAGGTATGGGGGATTGTGGGTGCGGGTATGGGGTTTTGTGGGTGCAGGTATGTGTGTGTATGTGCCATGCACATCCTCGTCTGGTAGATGTTTGCTGGTTGGTATACACGTGCATTCTGTTAAAAGTATTTGTTTGTTGGGTAGATTCTAAGGTGCAATATTTTCTCTGTCTGCTGCTTATCACACTTTCTGTCCTTCTCCTTTGCTTTTTTTGTATTGTCGCTATGTTCATTGCATTTGCCATTACGCTCACTCCTGTTGAGAACTGTCATAACCCCTGTCCTGCGCCCTCTCCCTTTGCCGCAATCTGCCTTCTTCTCATCGCAGGTGAATCTGTTCACCACGCTCAAGCTCATTCTTCTCCTCGCTGTTCTCACAGCCATTCCCGGCCACCAAGTTCTCTCCTACCTTGCTGACGTGGCACCTAAGGCCAAAACGGAATGAGCTGTTGCTGCACAACCATTATCATGGGTGCAGTGCGAGGCCCAAGCCTAAAATGTCCTGGAATTTATAAGAAGGGTAAATTCTGAGATTTTGTTTCTACTGGATATGAAATTTTCTAGTACGGTACTACTAGAAGCCTTATGTGTTGAGGCTAGTTGACATGACAAACGTCAGATGGCAGTCCTTTTTTAATAAGATATACTGGCACTAAACATGATGATAGTGGCATGCTCCTCCCATATACAGGCTTCTATCTACTACCTAAGGAAATCACTGTAACGAGTCTGCCGTGTAAATGACTCAACCTCGGTGTCAGCACCATAAGTCCTCCCGATACAACGACTTATGTATACAGTGTTTATGTAATCTCTGCGTGGTGTGAATGTTTCAGGGCCAAGAGCGCGAGCAAAATGGTGCACTCTTCTGCGGTTGGATGCGATTGTGTGCGAGGCAGGGCGGTTCGTGAACGTTTGAACTCAAGACGAGAAAGTTTTTCCGAGAGCAGGTGCTTCTGGAGCTTTCCTAAACTCGAGGTGGAGGCTTTGATTATAGTGAGCTCGACTCATCATAGCTCCAGCCTCCACGCCATAACTTCGGCTTGCTTCTGCCTTCTGGGTGTCGGGTCTTAGTTAGTACGTGGGGAGCTTCGTCAGCTTGTCACCGCGAGGATCCTAACCCTATTTCGTAGTCGCAGGGGTGACCCTAGAGTCGACTTTAAAACGCAACTGCAACTATAGTTGCGGCTTGAGATTTGTCAAGCCTGTTTACCATCACCCCATCCCGGCGATCGTACGGCTCCTCGTTCTCACCAGCTCGTATTGAACCACCGTCGATCCGCTCTTTCGCCCACCGCTACGTCACTTTCACCGCTTGCGTCGCAACTCGTTCGGAAACTCCTTCGCTGGTTCGTAAACTCCCCTTCTTACTCCAGTGACCAGGATCCGTAGATTCGCTAGCCGAACCGCGACTGTTCGAGCCGCCAAATCATTAGTCAAGGAGCCGACGAATCTCTAGATCCGCTTGTCGATCTGCTAACGGATCTTCTAGATTTGATTCTCTAGGCGCCATGAATCTCGGGGCGATGAAGAATATGAAGGTGCCGCCCGGAGCGGGCGGCGCGATCGGATCGGTGCTGCGCGCTGCGGTGATAGGCGGTGCGGTGCTGTACGGTGCGGTGCACAGTTTGTATAACGTGGAGGGAGGCCACCGCGCGATCATCTTCAACCGGCTCTCTGGGATCAAAGACACGGTGGGTTTCGGTGTGAATCGGTTCAGTGCGGTGCTGGAAGGAAAGGCGCGATCGGTGATTGTCCTTGAAGTTAGGTCGTCCATCCATCGGGTTTGATCTGAGTATTCCCGTTATAAGCGGTCTCGTTAGGTTCTTTCGAACGGAAGTCCTCAGCCCTCCTCCGCGTCCCGTCCTCCCCCGGCCCTCCCGTTTGCGCCCATTCCCCGCCATAGTCGCGGCGTTTTCCCGCGCGTGTTCAGCGCTGGTCTGTACATTTCCCACCCCCCGAACCCCTCTTCCCCCCCCCCCTCCACCTTCCGCTCCCTCTTCTCTCCCCACTCCCCCCCTCTTTCCCCCACTTTCCCCCCGTCTCCCCTCACTCCACCCCTCTTCTCCCTCCCTCCCTCCCTCTTCTCCGCCTACCCTCCCGTTTCCCCCCCCCTCTTCCCCCCCTCTCCCCCGTCATCCCCGCGCTCCCCCCGTCATCTCAATCAAAAACGCCCTGCACATTTCGCTGTACCAGGAGGAACGTTTTTTATCACTCCCCTGAGGGACGTGAGGGCGGCTGTTGCCTGCTGGTCCTCCCTCCCTCCCTCCCTCCCTGCCTCCCTCCCTCCCTGCCTCCCTCCCTCCCTGCCTCCCTGCCTCCCTCCCTCCCTCCCTCCCTCCCTCCCTCCCTCCCTCCCTCCCTCCCTCCCTCCCTCCCTCCCTCCCTCCCTCCCTCCCTCCCTCCCTCCCTCCCTTCCCCCCCCCTCTCCCTCCCTCCCTCCCTTCCTCCCTCCCACACTCACTCCCTCCCTGCCTCTCTCTCGCGTTTTCAAACGTTCCCTCCATATTCCCATCCATCCCATGCCATTCCTTCCATTCCATCCCACCCCATCCCATCTCATGCCATCCCATCTCAATCCATCCCATCCCGTCCTATTCCACCTCAACATTCCAACCCATCCCAACCCACAGGTATACCAGGAGGGGACGCATTTCGTCATCCCCGGTATTGAGTGGCCCATTATCTACGACGTGCGCGCCCGACCCCATCTCGTGGAGAGCACGTCCGGCAGCCGCGATCTTCAGATGGTGGGCCTCTTTTGTCCTGTGTGGCTGGGCGTGTCGTGTAGCGGGTGGGTAGTCGGATTGGGCGGGCGGCGTGGATACAATTCGGTGGGTGCAGGCGGAATGCGGTTCTCAGCTAAAAGAATTTATGTGGTTATAATGTCGCGATCAAATATAATGCAAGTGTGCTTTGATAGTCAATTGTAGCACTCTGCCATGGCAAATGCATCCCGTCTGGTCCTTATCACCCTCCGTGGTTTGACTCGTCCCATGTCGGACCGCCTCCCCACCATCTACTGCACGCTGGGGCAGGACTATGCAGAGCGGGTGCTGCCGTTTCCCCCTCTTTTCCCTTATCCCTCGCTGCCCTGTACCATGTGCCCTCCCCTCCCATGTTCTCCCACCTGTCAGGTCCGAATCACTCTGCATGTGCTGACGCGTCCCATGTCGGACCGCCTGCGCACCATATACTGCACGCTGGGGCAGGACTATGCTGAGCGGGTGCTTTTGCGTTTCTAACTGTGTGTTTCCTCCACCCTCCTCCCTGCCCTACTCTTTCCTGCCCTACTCTTTCCTGCTCTGCTCTCCCCTGCCCTTCTCTCAGGTCCGAATCACGCTGCGAGTGCTCACTCGTCCCATGTCCGACCGCCTCCCCACCATCTACCGCACCTTGGGGCAGGACTATGCAGAGCGGGTGCTGCCGTCGATCGTGCAGGAGACCCTGAAATCCGTGGTGGCTCAATACAACGCCAGCCAGCTCATCACACAGCGAGAGGTATGGGATGGTAATAAGCGGTACTGAGCAGTGAGAACCTTCCTGCAGGTGAAGAATGGGGAGGGAGAAAAGGGGCATGCAGGGAGCAGAGGGTGCTGTCATCGATCGTGCAAGAAACTCTGTAATCCGTGGCGGCTCAATAAAATGCCAACCAGCTGATCACACAGCGAGAGGTGTGTGACTGTACTGAGAGGTGCTCTAATAAGTTGTGGCTCAAAAGTTTCCCGTCACCCCATTACCTCCTCCCTTTTGAGAGCTCTTGAAGTGACCGAGTACCAAGCTTCAGCATCGCTCTCGGTGACGTGCCCACAGGAGGTTGGATTTATGTGACACAGCCTTACTCCCCGTTCCCCTTCACCCCTTGACCCATTCTCCCCGCTCCCCTTCACCCCTTGACCCATTCTCCCCACTCCCCTTCCCTTCCCCTCCCCTCCCCTCCCGTTCTCCAGTCTGTCAGTCGTGAGATTCGCCGTATCCTTGAAGACATCGCGTAGCTGCCACCTTCAACATCGCTCTGGATGATGTGTACTAGACGTTTCAATCAGCAACCTCACGTTTGGTCGCATACTAGAAGATAGGACAGCCAGCTTCAACATTGCTTTGGATGACGTGTCAATCAGCAACCTCACGTTCGGACGCGAGTTCACCCCTTACTCCTGTTTCTTTCCCTTGACCACCTCGCTTCCCTCCCCCGCCCTCATCTTCTCACGGTCTGTCAGTCGGGAGATCCGCCCTATCCTGGAAGACAGAGCAGCCAGCTTTAACATCGCTCTTGATGACGTGTCAATCACCAACCTCATGTTCGAGCGCGAGTTAACCCCTTAGTTCCCTCTCTCACCCCGTGACTCTCCCACCCGCTCCTCCCCCAGTCTGTGAGTCGTGAAATCCGCCGCATACAGTAGGATAGAGCAGCCAGTTTCAACATCTCTTTGGATGACGTATCGATCACCAACCTCACGTTCGGGCACGAGTTCAACCCTTACCTTCCCATCCCACCCTTTCCCCCCCTCTTCCCGCCCTTCCTCCTTCACCCCATACTTTCCCACCCCGAACCAGTCTGTAAGCCGTGAAATTCGGCGTATTCTAGAAGATAGGGCTGCCAGTTTCAACATCGCGCTGGACGACGTGTCCATCATCAACCTCACGTTCGGGCGCGAGTTCACCCCTTAGTTCCCCCTTCCCCACTTGAACCCTTTTCCCACGCCCCTCTCGTGCTCCTCCAGTCTGTCAGCCGCGAGATTCGGCGCATATTGGAAGAGCGAGCAGCATCCTTCAACATCGCTCTCGATGATGTTTCGATCACCAACCTCACGTTCGGGCGCGAGTTCACCCCTTGTTTCCATTTCTTCCCTTGACCACCCCCCCCTCCCCCTCCTATCTGTTACCCCAGTCTGTCAGTCGTGAGATTCGTCGCATACTGGAAGAGCGAGCAGCATCCTTCAACATCGCTCTCGATGATGTGTCCATCACCAACCTCACGTTCGGGCGCGAGTTCACAGCAGCCATCGAGGCGAAGCAGGTGGCGGCTCAGGAGGCAGAGCGCGCCAAGTTTGTGGTGCAGAAGGCAGAGCAGGACAAGCGGGGAGCGATTATTCGAGCGCAGGTGAGTGTGCGCGCGCATGTGTAAGGGGGAGGGGAGGGGGTGAGAGGGGGGAGTAGCACTCACAGGAGGCAGAGCGCGCCAAGTTTGTGGTGCAGAAGGCAGAGCAGGACAAGCGGGGGGCGATCATCCGAGCGCAGGTGAGGGGATATGGGTTGTGTGGGTGTATGTGCGGGGGGAATGCGCTGTCTACACACTCAGCAGCAGCACTCACAGGAGGCAGAGCGCGCCAAGTTTGTGGTGCAGAAGGCAGAGCAAGACAAGAGGGGAGCTATTATCCGAGCTCAGGTGCGTGGATAGGCGTGTGTGTGTACATGTAAGTGCATGTGTGAGGCAGAGGGGAAGAACGGGGTATGCTTTCACAGGAGGCAGAGCGCGCCAAGTTTGTGGTGCAGAAGGCAGAGCAGGACAAGCGGGGGGCTATCATTCGAGCTCAGGTGAGGGGATATGGGTTGTGTGGGTGTACATATGTGTGCTTGGGTGGTGAAGGGTGGCTCAGGAGGCAGAGCGCGCCAAGTTTGTGGTGCAGAAGGCAGAGCAGGACAAGCGGGGGGCCACAAGTGCGCAGATGATAGGAGAAGCCATCGCCAACAACCCCTTCTTCATCACTCTTACTCACCTCCACTTCTATTTGATCTTACACCTGCTTGCTTTCCCAGCTCTCCCCTTTTCCATTGCACAACAGGGAGAGTCCACGAGTGAGTAGCTGATAGGAGAGGCCACACCTCCCCATCCCCTCCTCCCTCTCCGCTCTTTCTCCCGGTCCTCTCTTCCCTTCCGCTTTTTTTTCACACAACAGGGAGAGGCCACGAGTGCACAGCTGATAGGAGAGGCCATCGCCAACAACCCCTCCTTCATCACTCTCAGGAAGATTGAGGCGGCGAGGGAGATCGCCAACATTCTGGCCAATAGCAACAACCGCGTCTTCCTCTCGTCTCATCTTCCTGTGCCTTCGTCTCTTCCTCCACCCCACTTTCCCCACCTCCCTCTCCCCCCCCCCCGCCTTCCCCCACCTCCTCTCCTCTCCCCTTCCCCACTTTCCTTTTTCCTCCCACCTTCTGTCCCCATTGCTCTACAGGGAGAGGCCACGAGTGCGCAGCTGATAGGAGAGGCCATAGCCAACAACCCCTCCTTCATCACTCTCAGGAAGATTGAGGCGGCGAGGGAGATCGCCAACACTCTGGCCAATAGCAACAACCGCGTCTTCCTCTCGTCTGATTCGCTGCTGCTCAACTTGGCTGACGTTAAGAATGATGCGCCGCCCGCTCCTCCTGCTGCAGCTGGCAAAAAGAAGTGAATTTGGCTTTGAGTGATGCGTTATCAGCTATTTTTGACATGTTGATGCATGCACATAGTTTACATGAAGTTGAATGGTACGTGCGCACCAATAAAATTCGTTTTCCATTTGGGATACCCTATCGTGTTTTAACCAACCACTTTTGCTGCGCACAATGTGGGACAGCAAGTACGCAAGCCTATATACGTGCAAGAAGTCTATATGAAGTTTGGTTCTGCTAAAACTGCAATATGATTGTGATTATCCGAGTTTAGCCCTGTTTATCAGGTACCGTAGCACATATTGCATGCCAGACCTAAGTTTTTGCGGAGAATTTTGAGTGTATCAGTGCCCTAATGCATTTTTTGGAATGGGATTCGTGGGCTCCTCGCAATGACCGAAAAGGCTCATGCCACGGCAGCCTCATCTGACGGCAGGTTGACGGCAAACGTTCCCTTCAACGTTAAACGTCAATGCCAAGCCCAAAGACCTGAACCCCTGCGAGACTCACAGCGGATTGTCCAGATTCTGTTACCTGATATTCACGAAATTTAGAGCTGCACATGTTTTTCGCCACCAGCGGTTTTGGTTCGCCTTGGGAATTGCTGGCTTGTCTCTCCTTGCTTCTTCTCTGTAGCCTCTTTCTTCTTCGCCTCCTTTTCCCTCTCCTCTCTTTCTCCAGTTGTTAGGGTTTCCCATCCTCCCAGCGGCCTTTCCGCTCAGCTCACCACAACCACAGCCATGGCAAGTCCTCCTGCTCCTTACCCATTTTTAGCTCGTATGCCTCACTATGCGTGCATTGGGGAGTAGATTTATCGTTCGCAGTGGTCGCGCGGGACGTTCTGTGTGGATTTGTGTGGGATGCGAGGGTTTTTGTCAGGGAGGTTATGAATTGGGCTTCCCACTACGTACACCGTGTAGCGGGTTTTAGGGGCTCGTTAGGCGGGTGCGGGAAGGTCCATTAAGTGCGATGGCTGTTCCTCTTCGCACAAATGCGTTCATTGTTGGAGTTCGCCGGAAGAGTTTGTAGCGCAAAGGTTCCGGAGCACGGGGCTGATGGCTGTTTAGCGTAGCTCGCCTTTGTCCAGTCGAGGTTACGCTTTGATCATTTAGAGTGAAGATCCCTCGCTGACTCGAATTCTCCTGGCAGGGACGGTGCTAGGTCGTGTCGCATTCCGGTTGAAGTGTGATTCATAATCATTATCTATTTGTTTGCTTGATTGACCGCATTTCACGCGCTAGTCTCCTAACTCACGTGCGTCATGAGACGGTCAATAGCTACCGCCTTCGCTCTCGTTACCAACCACTTCCCGTTATCCTCTTCTCTTTTCAAGCGTGCGCCGTCCCCCCCTCTCTTCCCTCCCTCGTTCCCCACTCTCCCTCGTCCTGTTGCCTCTGTTTTTTTGCGTCCCCGTTATGTCTTTCAATCAAATCTTCTCTTCGTGGCCTTTTTTCTCGTCTCCTCTCGTAGCGTCTCGTTTGGTCGGAATCATCCGTGTCTCGTGCCCCGCAATCGATGACGAAAGAGAAAGAGGTCCATCGTTGTCCCTCAATGTTTTTTCGCCTTTTTTTTGCCTAATCTCCCCCTCATCTGACCATTTCAACCCCTCATTCCCTCTCCCTCCCCGCAGTCTTCCAAGAAGAAGGTGAAAGAAGTGAAGGAGGAGAAGGGTCCCGCTGGCCCGCAGGTGCGAGAGGGCGAGATCGTCTTCGGCGTCGCTCACATCTTCGCATCCTTCAACGACACCTTCGTGGTGAGTAACACTTCGTGCGTCGCATACATCTTGGCAACCGTCGATGTCACCTTCGGGGTGACAGTTCGTGCCGGCCAATTCCTGTTCTCGATAGTGTACCTTCGATTTTCCAATATTTTGTTTCCCCGATTTGGCTACCTTCTCCCTACCCTACTGCTTCTGCCTCTTTACCCTCTCTACACCTCTTTCCCTCCTCCCTCCCGCCCTCCATTCTCCTTTTTCCCGTTCTTCCGTAATCCCTTGTACAGCACGTGACGGATCTCTCCGGCAAGGAAACCATGTGCCGAGTCACTGGTATGTCCCTAATCCCTCCGGCGAGCTTTTGTGGCGCGTTAGGGTTTGACGTTCGTCCATTCGCGCGATGCAGCTGTACGCGTTAGTGGCTCTCAATGCTGTGTGACTACTGATCAAGCCTAGTTATCACCCGGCAGCAACGGCTGTAGGTCTCATCAGCGATTCCCAGCGTATGATAGCGACTAGCAGCCCATGTAGCTGTTCGCAGGCCACTCAGCTGGTTTTTTTTTCTCCTTTCACGTTTGCAGACCAAAGGTAGTGAGACGTTTAGCGGGCCATTAAGTGTTTGCAGGCCTCTTAGCCAAATTTTTGGAGCCGTTCCTGGCGGAGTTGGGGAAAGGCCGATATTGGTCGTCTTTGATTTTCTTCCGCCGTTTTCGCCACCTGCCTACTCTTTGACACGCGGTCACCCACTCTGGCTCACTCGCTCATTCGCTCACTCGTGAAATGCGTATTTACGGCACTCAAGTGTCGTGCGTAGTTTTGAGCGGTGCTCAACACCCCTATTCGCGCATACAAAGTCCGTGCTTGTAGGTAGTTTTACTCGCTTTCTGAGAATGCGCCAACCCTTACGCGGATTTTCCAATAACGCGTCCAACACACCCGCCTCAGCACCCTCCCTACACTCGCACGGCCCCGTCCTCTCCGTTCCGCGTGTCGGTTCGAAGTCACTTGGTGCTCGTGTCAGGCGGTATGTTGGTGAAGTCCGATCGCGACCAATTGACTCTCTAGTCGGTTCGAAAACATCCCTCCACGCGCTGCCCCTTACCCTCCTCTCCATGCCCTTCCCTCCCCTCCCCTCCCCTCTCCTCGCCAATTCTCCCCCACTTCACCCCCCCCCCTCTCCTCCCGTTATTGTCGTGGCCAGGCGGCATGAAGGTGAAGGCCGATCGCGACGAGTCGTCCCCATACGCGGCTATGCTTGCAGCGCAGGACGTGGCGATCAAGTGCAAGGTACGTCCTGGCATCAAGGGACTGTCGATCATATCTCCTGACTTATCTCCTATACTTCTCGCTCACACCAGAACCTGGAAACCACAGGGTCGAAATCGTCTTTTTGCTCCTCTCCATGCTCCCCCCCGCCCCCCCCCGGTCTGACGTCCCGCCACTCCCGCTAACCCCACCACACCCGCCACCCGCCTCCGCGCCCTCTCACTTCCGCCTCTCAGAAGCTGCGCCACACAGATCCGCAAATCAATCAAACTCATTTGTACCCAGGCTGTCATTGCCCCACATCGCGCTTCCTCTTCTCCTCATTTCCCACTCACCCCCAACTTCCCCCACTTCCCTTGCCCCCCTTCTTCCCTCCCCTCCCCTCCTCCTTCCCCCTCTTCCCCCTCTTCCCCCCTTCCCCATTTCCCCCCTTTCCCCCTTTCCCCCCTTCCCCATTTCCGCCCTTCCCCATTTCCCCCCTTCCCCATTTCCCCCCTTCCCTACTTCCACCTTTCCCCCAGGAGCTGGGCATCACGGGGCTGCACATCAAGCTGAGGGCTACGGGTGGTAACCGCACCAAGACGCCCGGCCCTGGAGCTCAGTCCGCCATCCGCGCCCTTGCCCGTTCCGGCCTCAAGATCGGCCGCATTGGTAAGAGTATAATCATTAGTTGTTTCATTGAATGAAAAGAAACACCTTTGACGATTTTGCCAATTTGATCCCTTTTTTCCATGTGTGACGAGCAAGTGATTTCCTGATTCCGCATCTTCTCTGCTGGATCTAATCGTTAATTTTTGTATGCTATCATTGTGTTGCAGAGGATGTGACACCTATCCCCACCGACAGCACTCGCAAAAAGGGTGGTCGCCGCGGTCGCCGTCTGTAAACCTTGTGCCTTACCATCTCTTGCCGTGCTTCAATGTTTCTAGAATATTGCACTAGCAGCAGTAGCAGCACCTCAGTGCAGGTAGCAGCTGAAGCTGCGAAGCAGCAGCAAGGAGAGTCCTTTTTAATTCAATAGTGCTTGTCTCAGTGCCCAATTGTATTTTCATCTGGCATTATTCTGTGAATGTGCAATCAGTACAGTTCCACGTCAGTCTCTAGAAATACCAGGAACAGTTATATAAATATTGGAGTATGCTTGTATTTTACTAAGTGTGTTGGGCCCGAAGCATTTTTTACTGGTCGTTGGCGTGGCACTCGTTCAGCTACCCAGACGCTGGAGTTCAGTTGTTCGTTTGGAATTGCAGGCTAGGAACCTAGCCCAGGTTCGGTGACCCAATGCCCACCCTGGGCTCGAATTCGGTTCGACACAGTCCTTTCGAGTCGAAGCAGCGTGTGCCCCATTTGCACATACACGTACCAGTGGAAGCCTCGGACTCTCGTGTGTGAAAATGTTACTGTACAGTACTGCACTGTAAAAGCAGTCAACAGCCGACATCCGTTACTGCTGCGACTCGGTTGTTGTCCAATTGGTGAACCTCGCGACGACCGGTCGCTGTCTGGCTCGTTTTCTCCAGCATCGTGTAACTTGACGGTCAAGCGACACTCTCTCGGGAACACCGAACACCTCTACAGTTGCAGTCGGTTCAACGGGTAGAGTAGAATGGCATTGCGGCGAAACTGGTCATGTGAAGAGAAGGGGCACTAGGCAGTTTCCCTTTTGGACCCTTCTCAACCGCGATGTAGATTCATTCAAGAGCTCTAAAGCGTAAAGAACCTTGTGAGGTCGCGTTGGACGGAATTTGGGGGTACGCCCTGATAACTATTTGAGGCTTACGGCTGACTTACAACGAGCAGCTGAATATACCTCCACCTAGGACTCATAACTCACCAGTCGGTCGTCCACCCTTTCCGCATTTGGCGCGTTATTCCTTGTGGGCGATGCGAGTCGTTTAGCTCGCGTTAGAGATTATACGGTACAGCGATTGTTAGACGCATGCGTGGAGAACTGAGTACCTTCGTTGTAACACCCAAGGTCCCCTGTGTCCTCCATACGCATCGCCTCGAGATACGCGCCGCGTCCCAATTAAAATGTTCCGACATCATATGTTAGCGAGTGTGGCTAAATCGGAAATAGTGCACACAATATGTTAGCCAGCGCGTACGTGGAACAACAGACAGCAGCCTACTAGCTCTGCTTCTTAGGCCGTTGACTCTATAGCCCGTTACCTCGCTAATACAGGCTAAATAGCCCCGGTGAATGCAATAACTGCTAGCATAAACTAATCCCTGCGGAAATCTCTTCTAGAAGCTACAAGAGACATTATGTCGGCCAGACAAAGCCCACTTGCTGCTCCGGGAATCCCGCGACACGTGTCCCTTGAGAATCCAGTCTCGCACCGTTTGTCGTTCGAGATTCCGGCGACAGTATCCGTCCGTTGCTCTAACGACCTCGACGACACGGATTCCGTCTTCTCCCTCGCTCTCGATTCCGACGTTCCGTCCGGTCCATCTTCGCCGAAGCTTCCTCAAGCCTTGCTTCCTCGTCCGTCGTTCTCCCCGTCCCTCTTCGGAGCTCCTCACGCGGCTGCGCCTGCTGATTTCGCAACCGCCGACCGTTTCGCATCGACGAATTTCGCAACAGCAGATTTCGCGTCTACGACGTTCGCGAACGGTCATCATCAACTCGCGACGGCCAATGTTACACCCGCTGCGGACACCGACTCGTCCGTTTCGTCCTCCTTCACCTCAGTCGACCTCGCTTCCGCGCGAACCTCCTCTATAAGCACATGCGGACAGCTACAGCAGCAGCTTATAGCGGGGCCTAGATCCGATGACGTGGCGCAGCGCATCGCGCCGCGGGATGCGGGGGATGCGGAATCGGAGGCGACGGCGGTAGCCACGGCGGCAGTGGCGGGAATCCCGCCGGGTGGTGCGCTAGCGGCGCAGGTGGAGCAGTTTTTGGCGCGAGCGGGGGAGGTGGATCAGGAGTTACGCGATCTGAAAGTGACTATAGCGAGGCTGCTAGGGTTTGTGGACGACTACCGGCTATTATCGAGCAGAGATGCAGTGGAGGTGCGTTTGATTATTAGCGGTTTCGTTAGCCTAACGACCCTTGCATGAACCGTTTTGTGCCTATAACAAAACACTACCTGACTCGTTCTCTTTCCAATTTATCTTTTCCTCCCTTTCCTTATTCCTGGTTCTGCAGAAGCTTGCAGAGAGGATGACGTCAGAGCTGGATCGACTGCAAGGCACGGTGACAGGGAGCCTGAGAGACCTTATCAGCGGCAGCTTTACAGGGGAGTCTGACAGGGTAAATTACCCCAGAAATGACCAGCACTCGGGCAGCCTGAGCAACAGTGGAAAACTCGGAAGCGGAGGGAGTGGGGGGGGAGGGGGTGTGGTGAGTAGGGTTGGAGGCCTGGGGGTGTGGCTAGGGTCGGGAATTGGCAGCATCGGGATCAATAGCAACAGTGGAAACAACAGCAGCGGCAGCAGTGGCATCAGCAGCAGCAGCAGCAGCAGCAGCAGCAGCAGCAGCAGGGGAGCGGGAAATGCGGCCATGGGGCACATCAGAGCGTCAGTGGCAGCAGCAATGGTGGAGAAGCTATGGCGGCGGCACAAGGAGGCTGGTGACGTGGCACTCAGATTGAATATGGGAGTCCGGGATACTGCCAGGCGAAGGTGAGAGTGAGGGTCTTGTAATAAGGTGGGGTATCAGAAAGGGCTATAGCAGTGAATGGGCTGTGGGGGAGGCACAAGGAGGCTGGTGACGTGGCGCTCCGATTGAACATGGGCGTGAGGGACACTGCAAGGCGAAGGTGAGAGTGAGGGTCTTGTAATAAGGTGGGGTATCAGAAAGGGCTATAGCAGTGAATGGGCTGTGGGGGAGGCACAAGGAGGCTGGTGACGTGGCGCTCCGATTGAACATGGGCGTCCGGGACACTGCAAGGAGAAGGTTCGTGTGAAGGGGTGTAAAGAGGGGCTTGAATGGTGAATGGGCTATGGAGTGAGGCGGCACAGGGAGGCTGGGGATGGAAGGGGGAATGGGGGGGGAGTGGATTGATTATGGGCGTGAGAGACACTGCAGGGGGAAGGTGCATGGGTGGGGCTATGGACGGCCTGGTTTTGAGGCGCCTCAAAAGCGTGAGAGACACTGCAGGGAGAAGGTGCATTGGTGGGGATATGGACGGCTTGTGGGTCAACTCCTGTTTCTTTCCCTTCCCCCTTCACACCCACCCCCACACCTTACATATTTCTCAACCCCTTTCCAACACACCCAACCACAGACACCCACACACACCACACACACCACCATCATCACCACCAGTGACTTGGCCGAGCAGCAGCTGGGCTTCTCGGGCTGTATGCTGCTAACTTCAAATGTCTGTTCCCCTGCCTTTTGGGTTCTCCAGATCACCGCCATAATCCTCCCTTTCTCTTTTCTCCCTGCATGCCCACCCACCCACCACCACCATCCCCACTACCCCCACCACCCCAGGTACACGGACGTGACGGGCTGTGCCCCGTCCAACGACTTGATCGAGCAGCTCTGCTCGCCAGCCACTCCCGAGTGCCTGCTCTCCCTCCTGTTCTACTCCCCACGTCTCCCATTCCCTCTCATAGCCTTTTTTATCTCTGTGTTCTCCCTGCCCACCCACCCACACCATCACACACACCCACCACCACCACACACTATCACCCCAGGTACACGGACGTGACAGGCTGTGCCCCTTCCAACGACTTGGTCGAGCAGCTCTGCTCCCCAACCTATCCCAAATGCGTGCTTTCTCTCCACCTCTGCTCTCCACATCTCCCACTTTCTCCAATCCAACTTTCTCTCTCTGTATTCCTCCTGCTCCCCCAGGTACACGGACGTTACCGGCTGTGCCCCTTCCAACGACTTGGTCGAGCAGCTCTGCTCGCCAGCCACCCCCGAGTGCCTGCTCTCCCGCCTCCTCTGCTCCTCCATCTCCTCCCTCCCCTCCTTCCGCCCCTCCCAATCCACCTCGGGAGTCGGAGGGATCGATGCTGACGTGGAACGGCTCGTGTCTGAGCTGGCGGCGCGTCAGCAGCTGTCAGCGCGGGTCGGCGACAGGCTGGCGCGGCTGCAGGAGGGGATCCAGGAGCTTGTGTGGCTGTTGGAGAGCGGGATAGGGAGCGATGAGCTGGCGAAAGCGAGGAAGCGGATTGGTGGGATTCCGGAAGGGGGAGGAGGGGGGAGGGGGGCGGGGAGAGGGTGTCCAGGGGCAGGGGTTGGGGGGGGCTCTTCAGCTTATGTGGCTATGGGGGGGGGAGGGGGAAAGACGTGGGGGAGGAGGACTGAAGGAGGGGGGAGGGGAGGGGAGGAAATGGCACTGGTCGTGTGTGGTGCTTGTGGGAGTGCTGGTGGTGTCATCACTGCTTGTTGTGCCTGCTACTGTGCTCTTGCTCATGTTTGTCAAGTGACACACCCTTCTCCCCTGCTTCTCTGTCCTGCTTCCCTGTTTGCGCTGCTCTATTCTGCTGCTCTCCCCTGCTGCTGTACCAATGCCCATGCTTATCAAACGGAAGCTGCTTTTAACGTGGTTTGAGAACCGCCAAAGCTGCCTTGGCCTTCTAGCTGCTCCTTTGTCCTCTGTACAGTCTGGTAGTTCTTGAACTTTCCCTTGTCTTGCCTTATCTTCTCCTAGCAACAGCTTCTGGGCCTACAGGTAGTGTTGTTGCTACTGGCCTAGTGGTGGTGCATCATGCATCATGCATCAGATCTGTTGAGGAAACGAGAAGTTTCGAGCCCATCAGAGCATGTTCTTTTAGAAATCTCAAAAAAACTTACTGAGCCCATCTGAGCTGAGGGCCTGAGGCTCTTCCACCCACAGCAGTCACGCACGCACTCGAGCTTTCTAGCAGATGCTTGAGTCAACTCAAAATCAGCTCCAAACCCTGGTGCCTTGTAGTGCAGCATAGGTACATCAGTCCTATAGAGGAAACAAAGAGTTTCAGGTCCCACTGAGGCGCTTCTACAGCAGTCACGCACACACTCGCAGTAATTAGCGGTCTACTGCACCCCCTTTGGTCCACACGGCACACGCGCTGCAGCCTCTGCTGCAGCTGGTCCCGGTGTGTCTGGTGTGGCATGGTACCTTGTGGGAAATGTATTGGCCCAACCAAGGCTCTTGTACGCCAGACACTCACACACTCCACTGCACTGCATTTGAGGCGCTTAGAAAATTGTGTCAAACGCAGCGTGTCTACCAGTACCAGTGCATATGATACCATATGGCAGTCCTCAGGGGAGCATACAGTAATGGAAGCGATTTTCACCCAGGGCCTTATTCCATTATTATTCAAAGTCTCTACAGACAAGCACACACCAGAAGCATCTACTGCAAGCCCTTTTACCGTAATCCCCCGTATATAGGACCCCCCCCAGTTGTAGACCCCCGGGTCTATAATACGGACCCGGGTACTCTATTCGAGTACATCTGAGTTATACCCCCTAAATGGCTCATAACATTATAAGACCCCCCAAATACTAGAGAAGTGCGGATTTTACAAAAAAATGCAATTGAAAATGGTAACGAATTTCGAATTTCAAATGAGTCAACACCCATTTTCAATGTGTTTGACTTTCGAAGGCTTCACTTGTTGCGCGTCCAGTCAGGATGAGCTGGCACGCGGGCAAAGTGACGTGCCAAATCTCTGTGCACAGTCAGGGAAACGCCCTCGCGCGATTCTGATTCAGGACGCTGTAAAAGTTCGATTCGATTGAACTTACGAGACTGAAATGTACAACATCGTGCATTCTTATAAATGTCAATGTGAACAGACCCGGGTCTTCTAAAAAATATACCATTTAATTATACCCCCCAGCCTTTTTAGGGGTGATTATCAGAATACCCTAGGGTCTTATATACGGGGGATTACGGTATCTCTGCCCCATCAACTCCATCCACCCCATCTGCTGCATCCACACCGTCTATCCATCCACCCCATCTGCTGCATCCACACCGTCTATCCATCCACCCCATCTGCTGCATCCACACCTCTATGTCTATCCATCCACCCAATCAGCCTTTAGCAAGGCTGACTCTGAACACCCGTACCCATCCCCTAGCACGTTCTCCAGCATATAACCCACCCCTATTTTTTAGGAACACCGTACAAAATAGGGAATGTACACTCCGTGCCCACCATCTCGTCGGGCATGAAATACGTATTCCCGTTCGCAAAGTGCAGCTCCCGAGCGCACGGCCGAACCGGGTAATTCCACGCGTAAAGAAAGCTCACGGTCTGCCCAGGGTAAAGCTGAACATTACCCCTGGGGCCCTGGTTGAATTGAATAGCGCAGTTGCCCTTGCCGAACCTATCAACGCAGCAAGGGCTGAACACCGGACCGTTCTGGAAGCGAGAAGGGTAGCGCGCGGGGTTGTCGAGCGAGCCAACCATAAGATTGCCGAAATCGAAGCAGTTGAAGAGGATGAGTGGACTGAGGAGGCTGTACTTGCACGTGTTCACCAAAGTCATGTTAAAGATGTAATTCTTCTGGTACCAAACGCCCACGTACTTCTGAGCGATTCTCAGGGTCGTCCTGCCGCAATCTGGAATTCATTAGGAGGAGAGGAGCGAGGAGAGGAGGGGAGGAAGAAGAGGGGGAGAACGGGGGAGAGGGGAGGCCATACGAGATGACTCATCAGCAAGTAGGCTAAGCCTTAGTTGCAAACATCAAGTAAGTGTAGGAGATGAGGCTTATGAGATAGAATCATCTAGTAAGCTTTCAGTTACAAGCGGCTCTTAGGCACTTACTTTCAGCACGCCTCCCGTTCCACTGAAGCTCGCGCCTGTGCACCTCCATGTCCTTCAGGTGCTCCGGGAGAGGCTCATCCGCGTTATAAGACTCCACATTAAGAATCCGCGGGCCCTGGCGCTGAGGAGGAACGTCGCGAGGAGCAGCGTCGGCGGCGGAAATGGCGGCATCCGCGGAGGCGGACGTGGGGAGCACGGCGGAAGAGTCGTCCGCGGAGCTGAGCGAGTCCTTGCGCGCGTGAGCGGCGGGGAGGAGGAACGCCGCGAGGAGGGCGACGAGGGCGAGCGTCGCGGCAACGGAGAGACCCGGCCTCTCAGAGTGTAGCTTCACCGAAGCTCCTCCGAGTCGCAAGCCGCGAGGGAGCGCCATACTTGCGAGGAGAGGTGTTGTCGGAGTTGGAAATATGCTTTTGACGCGATATGGCAGGTATTGGAACGTTGAATGGTAGCAAAAGGAGATGGAGCTGCTGATTTCGGCTTGAGAATCCGCTGTCTCAAGCTCTTTGTTTAACAGCTGCTTGTGTTCAGCCGATGATGATTGAAAGCAACCGACCCATCTGACTTTATAGTTTCGTTCGCGGAAAGGCGAAAATGGACTTCGTTGCTAAAGCGTGCCGTGAGCGTAGTAGCACTGGTTAGCACCGACCAGAGGGCTTATCGACCGAGTGAAGGTAGTTCTCGGTGAAGGTCTTACCACGCTGAAGGTCGGTTCTGCTACTAGACTCTCCCGACCATTCAGCTGTCGCTTCGCGGCGGCGGGGTGATTGCACCGTCTAGACATGGATAGAGGCGTTAATTGCAACTACGGGTCGTTTGGGGGGAACGAGGCGCGCTCTGAGTGATTTCGGAGAATACAACAGCCTCTTGCAGGGCTGCGCGCATCGACGATACGGCACCTGTGTGCTTTGCGGCTCGTAGTTTTGCGAAACAATATTTGCTCCTTTCCAGGACCCAAACCTTGAAACTGACCTACCTTAGGCGGTTTTTTCTAACTCCCTATGCCACGGGTCGCGCCATGTTGTTAAGAACTGAGGTGAGGAAGCGTGAGCAAGCATGCAGTTGCGAAGAGATCTGAAACAAGAGGGTGAAACAAGAGGGTGGGAAGAGAAACAAGAGGGTGGGAGAGAATGGGAATATTTGGGAGGAAGGAATTCGGGGCAAATGGGAATTGAATTTGGATTGACGGGGGCTGTTTTGGGAGGTTGGGTTGGTTGAAGAGTGGTGCTTGATTCGGGCCACTGCGGCAGCAGAGGTTGCATGCGACATGTGGCGGCTCGTAAAAGCGGTTGACATTGGGAATTTGCGACTCGCTCGGATGATACTCCTCGATAACTCAGTAGAAAGGCTCAGCGCGATAAACACGCGAAGACGGGTCAATTACGCGCTATTTTTTCCACTCACTTCAACACAACCAAGTTCATGAATGCAAGATTCATCCCTTCATATTTGACTCTGCCATGGCTCCTATCAAGAGTTTATCGTCGTCAATGTGAACCTTTCACGTATCATTACCAATATCTGAAATGGAACGTACTCGGCATAAGCCTCCTTCAATTAACTCTGAATCTAAGCTCTTGAGCTTTATACAAGTTTCAGGACAGCCAAGATAAGTAAATTCTTGGCTGGAAATGCATGTATAATAAAGTAAGGGTACATTCCTGCTGGAACGTGCATCAAAATTGTTTTACCGGTAACACCAATCCATCAAAACGTCTTCGGGTTGTCAGAATCACAGTGCAGGAATGAATGAACTATGAATGAGTTGGGTACAAGTACTAACCCTAAAGTGTTGTACCCCTTGTAGGCTAACCCACTATAGCCTAGAGAGAACACGAACATACAGTTTGACACACCCCCATAGGCTAAGTGGGAGAGAGCAAACACAACAGACGGTCACAAGACCAGTAAAGCAAGAGAACAAAGAAAAGCAAAGCTCAGGGTGGATCTCAAGATCACCACGCATTCTGAGCACAAGCAAGCGGCCACAAGGCCAGTTCACATGCAGAGTTATAATAGCAAGGCAAAACACTGATCACAACCTAGCAAGAGTAAACAAGCAGGTATAAAGATATATATCAGTGTACAACAATAGCAAGTCAAGCAACCAGCAGGTGAGGCAGAGTGGGCACAAGCCCAAGAGCTGTGCAGAAACGCTGATGATCACCAGACCCAAGGGCCTTGGCGAAGATATCAGCAGTGTTGGCCCGAGAGGCCACGTAAGCAAGGCGCAGCTGACCATGCTGCTGCAGCTCACGCGCAAGGAAGTAGCGAAGAGCAATGTGCTTCGTTCTGTGCTCCAGTCTATGCTCGCGACACAAGGCAAGCATTGCCTTGTTGTCGACGTACAGAACTGGAGGAGAACGAGGCCGCTCCCCCAAGTCGGTCAGCAGGTAGGTCAGCCAACGAAGCTCCTGTGCAGCCATGGCCCCAGCGTAGATCTCGGCCTCACAGCTGGAACCAAGCACAGAAGAAGAACGAGTGGACCTCCACGAGACAGATGCAGAGCCAAGACTGAAGGTGTAACCCTGTGACGAACGCTGAGTCGCCTGGTCGTCGGCCCAAGAAGCGTTAGAGTGTCCTGTGAGTACCACTGAACCCCGTACTCCAAGCACAAGCCCCATGCCCGATGTACTGCACAAGTAACGCAGTACCCTCTTCGCAACATCAAAGTGCACCTTTCGGTGTCTACCGGGTGCCACGTAGCGAGCCAGGAGGCTGAGAGGGTACGTGAGGTCAGGTCGTGTGCACGTCATCAGATACATGAGGCAGCCCACAAGCTCTAGGTACGGACCACTCGGCTCTACGGACTCGTCCGAAGGTGGAGCTGAGAGCGAGTGGCCGGTAGACAGAGGAGTGGGCTGTGGCGAGGACCACGTGAAGCCAAAGCGCTGAAGGACCTGGTGCACCATGTGTGACTGAGTGAGGGTGATGGTGCGCCGTGCTCTGTCCCGGATGATCTGCAAGTCAAGATAGCTCCGCAGCTCACCCAGGTCAGTGCAGGTGTGTCTCTCCTGCAGCTCCGCCTTCACTAGGGCCAGTGCCTCAGTGTTAGCAGTGGCAAAAACCAAGTCGTCGACGTACACGAGGATGTAGAACACCGGCAGAGTAGTGTCGGTGCGTAGAAACAGCGACGGGTCAGCAGTCGAAGGAGCAAACCCAAGAGCCGCAAGTGTCGTCCTCAGTGTGTCGTGCCACTCGCGGGGCGCCTGACGCAAGCCGTACACTGGTCGCCGTGGGCTCCACTGGGTACCCTCAGGAAACGACCCAGTGAAGCCTTGTGGACGGCGCAACCAGATGGCCTCGTGAAGGCTACCCTGCAAGAAAGCTGTCGAGAAGTCGAGGGAGTGCAGTTCGTAGTCGCGCTGTGCTGCAATGTGTAGCAACACCCGAAGTGTGGCCATCTTCGGGGTGGGGGAGAAGGTCTAAAAGAAGTCAACTCCCTCACGCTGACTGAAACCTCGAGCAACGTAACGTGCCTTGAAGGCAGGCGGAGAACCCGGCGGCCGCTTCACTATGAAAATCCACATGCCACTGACGATGTTCGCCCCAGGTGGGGGAACCTCGTCGACGTAGGTGCCTGTGGACTTCCAGGAAGCCATCTCTGCGTCCATGGCTGTCTGCCACTGAGAGGAGTACTCACCCGAAATCGCCTCTCTGTAAGAGCGCGGGGTGGGGATGTCAAGTGCATCCGGGTCTCCCTCAGGGGCAAGCAGCATGGTCGCGAGATGGGGTGCAGCGGCCGCAAGGCACTCCAGCTCCTCCTGCCTGTCCTCAAGAACGTCACAGCCAAGGGCAGTCTCACCCCCGACGGACGGAGGACAGGCAGGGACAAGGTCAGAAACAAGATTCGCAAGGTAGTCTAGGCGGTACACAGCAGCAAAGTCAACGAGCTCAGCGACTAAGGCAGACGCAGCAGGAGACGAGAACGAAGGGTCAGACACCACCGTAGCAAGAAAGCGAGTAACAGTCGGACTGGACGCACGAGCAAGGTCAGACGGAGGGTCAGCAACGTCAGGAAGCTTCATATCAGAACGTCTCTGGTTATGAAGCTTTATGTTCATGAAGTGCAGTAGTGATTGCAATTAATCGCGTCGTGCACGCCGTATCTCAATCTCGGCTGAATAGCTCTCCAATGGTTTCCAGAAAACGCAACAATTGTTGCAACCAAGAGTTTTCATGCTCTACATAATTTGCTCCGAAAGGCTCAACTAGGGTTCAGGCATATGCAAGAAGGTGTCGACATGTTTCTACCAGGTCTGAAGGTTGCCATATTTATTCAGGCGCTTTAGCTGTATCCTTAGAAACAGCGAGGGTACGGTCTATTATACGGTACCTAGGCCCTCCAATGCACTTTCACCTCCAAGAGACAAAGAATGAATGAAGTTTCACCCAGTGCCTTATTCCAATATTAATTTTAGTCTGACAGACAAGCACACATCAGAAGCATCTACTACAAGCCCTTTTAACCCAGCCCCTCCATCCACCCCATCTGCTGCATCCACACCGTCCATCCATCCACCAAATCAGCCTTTAGCAAGGCTGACTTTGAAGTCCCGCACCCATCCCCTAGCACGTTCTCCAGCATATAAACCACCCCTACTTTTTAGGAACACCGTACAGAACAGGGATTGTACACTCCTTGCCCACCACCTCGTCGGGCATGAAATACGTATCTTCGTTCGCAAAGTGCAGCTCCCGAGCGCACGGCTGAACCGGGTAATTCCATGCGTAGAGAAAGCTCACGGTCTTCCTGGGGTAAAGCTGAACATTACCCCTGGGGCCCTGGTTTAATTGAATCGCGCAGTTGCCCTTGCCGAACCTATCAACGCAGCAAGGGCTGAAGACCGGAGCGCGCTGGAACGGAGAAGGGTAGCGTGCGGGGTTCGCGAGCGAGTCAACCATAAGGTTTCCGAATTCGAAGCAGTTGAAGAGGATGAGTGGACCGAGGAGGCTGTACTTGCACCTGTTCACCATGGTCAGATTGAAGATGTAATTCTTCTGGTACCAAACGCCCACGTACTTCTGAGCGATTCTCAGGGTAGTCCTGCCGCAATCTGGAATCCATGGGGAAGTGTTGGTGGAGGGGAGTAGCAAGGAGAGGAAGGGTAAGGGGAGGGAACACTACAATCAAGGGCATACGAGGTGAGGCTAAGCTGTTGTTACAAACAACAAGCAGGTAGGAGATTGAGGCCGATGAGATGCAACTAAGGTTTTAACATACGCGACACTCACTGCCGGTAAGCGGCTTGGTATTCTGAAGCTCGGGCCTGTGCACCTCCATAACCTTCAGGTGCTCTGAGAGAGGTTCATCCGCGTTTTAAGTGTCAAACTGTGTTTGTATATCTGTAGGCTGTAGTGGGGTAGCCTCTA